CTTGAGTTTGCTCTTAACAGTCCAAAGTCTCATGACGTTTGTGCTCCCATTTTGGTACACAGGGAAAGCAGGCCTTATGTGGTACGCAGGGAAACCGTTTTTATATTCAACAGCAACTTGAGTTTGCTCTTAACAGTCCAAAGTCTCATGACGTCTGTGCTCTAAAGGGGTCAGAAGTCTAAAATTATTTATTTATTTATTTACTGTCCTTGTATACCACCGTTTCTCAGCCTAACTGGCGACTCAACGCGGTTTACAACAGAATATACAGTACACAGTATACAATTAAAACCGTAAAAAACATAATACACAATATTTCACATAAATCACAATCCAATACATCTCCTAACTAAAATCGTGGTCCAATTGCATCATCCATATTACCAATCCGTAGTCGACACATTCATTGCACCGAATTAACCAAATGCCTGCTTGAACATCCAAGTTTTTAGTCTTTTCGGAATACCATCAGCGAGGAGGCTGATCTTACCTCCATGGGAAGGGCGTTCCAGAGCCGAGGGGCCACCACAGAAAAGGCCCTGTCTCTCGTCCCCGCCAGCCGCACCTGTGAAGCAGGCGGGATAGAGAGCAAGGCCTCCCCAGAAGATCTTAGGGTCCTGGTGGGCTGATAGGCCGAGATACGTTCGGATAGTAGGTTGGGCCAGAACCGTTTAGGGCTTTAAAGGCCAACGCCAGCACTTTGAATTGAGGCCCGGTAGCAAATTGGCAGCCAGTGGAGCTGGTGCAGCAGAGGAGTTGTATGCTCCCTGCGCTCCGCTCCTGTTAGTATCATGGCTGCCGACGTTGGACTAATTGGAGCTTCTGAGCCGTCTTCAAAGGCAACCCCACGTAGAGAGCGTTGCAGTAGTCTAAACGGGATGTAACCAGAGCGTGGACTACCGTGGCCAAGTCAGACTTCCAAAGGTACGGGCGCAGTTGGCGCACGAGTTTTAACTGTGCGAATGCTCCCCTGGTCACCGCCGAAACCTGGGGTTCCAGGCTCAGCGATGAGTCCAGGATCACACCCAAACTGCGAACCTGCGTCTTCAGGGGGAGTGCGACCCCATCCAACACAGGCTGTAACCCTATACCCTGTTCGGCCTTGCGACTGACCAGGAGTACCTCTGTCTTGTCTGGATTCAATTTCAATTTGTTCGCCCCCATCCAGACCGTCACAGCGGCCAAGCACCGGTTCAGGACCTCGACAGCCTCCTTAGTAGCAGGTGGGAAGGAGGGACAGAGTTGGACATCATCTGCGTACAGATGACATCGCACCCGAAACTCCGGATGATCTCACCCAGCGGCTTCATGTAGATGTTGAACAACATGGGAGATAATATTGAACCCTGAGGAACCCCACAAGACAAAGGTTGTGGGGTTGAGCAGGAGTCTCCCAATAACACCTTCTGAGACCGACCCTCGAGGAATGAGCGGAGCCACTGTAGAACAGTTCCTCCAAGACCCATTCCCGCGAGGCGTCCCAGAAGGATACCGTGGTCGACGGTATCGAAGGCCGCTGAGAGGTCCAGCAGCACCAACAGGGACACACTCCCCCTGTCTAGCTCCCGGCGAAGATCATCGACTAAGGCGACAAAGGCTGTCTAAGTACCATGTCTCGGCCTAAAACCAGACTGTCCCAGCCTAAAACCAGACAGATCTAGATAATCCGTGTCTTCCAAGAATACCTGGAGTTGTGAGGCCACCACACGTTCCAGGACTTTACCCAAAAAGGGGAGATTAGAAACAGGCTGATAGTTGACGAATTGAGTGGGGTCCAGTGATGGTTTTTTCAACAGCGGTTTTATTACAGCTTGCTTTAAGCTGGCTGGAATTTTGCCTTCCCGGAGGGAGGCATTAACCACCACCTTCACCCACTCGGCCAATCCCCCTCTGGCCTCCTTCAGAAGCCAGGATGGGCAGGGGTCTAGGATGCATGTGGTAGCTCTCATTCCTCCAAGCACCTTGTCCACATCCTCGGATTGAACCAATTGAAATGAATCCATCAAAACCGGACAAGCAGATGCTCGTGTTACATCCTCAGAGACTGCTGTTAATATGGTATCCAGACCAGAGCGGATCAAAGCGACTTTGTCTGCAAAGAACTGAGCAAAGGCTTCACAGCGAGCTGCCGAGTCATCAGGGCACCCATCCTGCATGGTGGGTTTTAACAGGCCTCTGACAACTCGGAACAGTTCAGCCGGACGGTTCTTTGCAGACGCAATAGTGGCCGCAAAGAAGGTCTTCTTTGCGGCTTTTATTGCCGCGGGTATGCCCTTAGAAAGGACACAAACCGTGTTCGATTTGGCTCGCTCGGATCCGAACGCCACACGCTCTCTAGTACCCTCTTCTTTCGCTTCAACGCTGCCAGCTCCTCAGTAAACCAAGGAGCTGGTTTAGCTCGGCTACTCGAGAGGGGACGTTCTGGGGCGATTGTGTCTATTGCCCTAGTCATCTCCCCATTCCAGAGAGCGACCAGGGCATCGACAGGATCACCAACCGAGGAGGCGGGAAATTCCCCAAGAGCCGTCAGGAATCCATCCGGATCCATAAGCCTCCTGGGGCGGACCAACTTAATGGGTCCTCCACCTCTGCGGAGGTTAGGGGGTGCAGTGAGTCTAAAGCTGACCAGGTGGTGGTCGGTCCATGGCAACGGAGAGATGGACAACTCCTCAACACCGCCACCTTCCTCCCATCCCTGGCAGAAAACCAAGTCCAATGTGTGTCCAGCACTGTGGGTGGGGCCAGATACCTGTTGGGACAGCCCCATGGTTGCCGTGGTGGCCATTCTATCAATCTTATCTTTCTTTCTCTTTCCCTTTTTCCTTCCCTTTTCTTCCTCTTCTTTTTTTTTTTTTCTTTCTTTTTTTTTTCTTTTTTTTTCTTTTTTCTTTTTTTTTTTTTTTTTTTTTTTTTTTTCCTTTTCTTTTTTTTCCCTTTTCTTTTCTTTTTTCTTTCTTTTTTATTTTTTGTTTTTTGTCATGGCAGACATGAAGTCCTGAGCCGCTCCCGATAAGATGGCCTCGGCGTGGACGTTGAAGTCCCCCAGCACAAGTAGCCGTTGGGACTCCAACGCCAGGTCCGAGACCACCCCCGCTAGCTCAGTCAGGGAGTCCGTAGTGCAGCGAGGTGGACGGTACACTAACAGAATCCCTAAACTGTCCCGGTCACCCACCCTCAGGTGGACGCATTCAAATTTTGTTGACTGCGGGATGGGGCCCCTGGTCAGACGAATGGAATCTCTATAGACCACTGCAACCCCGCCTCCCCGCCCTCCGGATCTCGGTTGGTGCTGCACAGAGAAGCCTGGTGGACAAAGCTGGGTCAAATTCACTCCTCCAGCTTCATCCAGCCAGGTCTCTGTGATGCACGCCAGATCTGCCCGTTCATCCAGGATCAAATCCTGGATGAAAGCTGTTTTACCATTGACAGATCTGGCGTTCAACAGCACCACCTTCAACCTGGAGGGACCGCCATCCTGGTTACACCAACTTACGACATCAGGAGACCGATTTGGGATTACTAATGTTGATCTATGAACCCTAGGCCGAAATAAAGGTCTCCCTTTCCCGTATCTCCCCCTCCCCACCACGACTTCTATGGGGGCTCCTTGGCTGACGGAACACCCTCCCTCCTCCATGACGCAATCAACCTGCATACATAGCTTCATCCCATGCTATATTACTTCCGGGACTCCTCAGTCTGAGCTCTGAACAATCCTAGATCCTGTTTTGGTACACAGGGAAAGCAGGCCTGTTTTGGTACGCAGGGAAAGCTGCGTACCAAAACATGCCGATACAACACAGTAAGCAAACCGAATCATATATAAACAAATTACAAGTGGAGACTTGAAGAAGGTTGCTATTTCCAACACAAAGCGGATTGTCTGGATTTTAGAGGGATAGTGTAGATGGGGGCTGAATCCTTGCCAGCAATTCAGGAAACAGGTAGAATAATGCATTGGAGAAAAATATAGGTATGCATTTATTTACTGTATTTCTATTTGATGTATTTTTTCTGTTATTTTGTGTATTGTTTGCTGTATTATTTTTGGGCTTAGCCTCATGTTAGCTGCCCCGAGTCCCTTTTGAGGAGATTATTATTATTACTAGCCGTCCCCTGCCAGGTGTTGCTGTGGCCCAGTCTGGTGATCTGGAAAATAAAGTATGTTTTCTTACCCTAGTGAAGGGAGTTGGACTGGATGGCCTTAAGACAACATTTTTCAACCTGTGGGTTGGGACCCCTGAGGGGTCACCAGGGGGATGTTAGGAGGGTCACCAAAGACCACCAGAAAACACAGTATTTCCTGTCGGTCATGGGTATTCTGTGTGGGAGGTTTGGCCCAATTCTGTCATTGGTGGGGTTCAGAATGCACTTTGATTGTAGGTGAACTATCAATCCCAGTAACTACAACTCCCAAATGTCAAGGTCTATTTCCCACAATCTCCATCTGTGTTCATATTTGGGCATATGGAATATTTTTTGTCAAGTTTGGTCCAGATCCATCGTTGTTTGAGTCCACAGTGCTCTCTGGATGTAAGTGAACTACAACTCCCAAACTCAAGGTCAATGCCCACCAAACCTTTCTAGTGTTTTCTATTGGTCACGGGAGTCCTGTGTGACATGTTTTGTTCAATTCCATCATTGGTGGAGTTCAGAATGCTCTCTGATTGTAGGTGAACTATAAATCCCAGCAAACTACAAACTCCCAAATGACAAAATCAATTTTTTTTGAGTGAAGGACATACATTGGGTTGTTAGGTGTCTTGTGTCCAAATTTGGTGCCAATTCGTCCAGTGGTTTTTATGTTCTGTGAATACCACAAACGATCTTTACATTTTTATTTATATAGATGATGATGATGATGATGATGATGATGGTGGTGATTATTACCTATCTCTATCTCAACCCCGAAGGGGACTCAGAGCGGCTTCCAATATTGCAATAATAGAGTGCCACATTAACGTAAGAAACCCCCTCTTTTTGTGTCTCAATTCCACCAGCCGCACTTGCACAAGATAGTGAACAGCTCCATGGAGCTGGCCCAGACGGCCAAGGAGCCCTACAACTACTTCCTGCTGCTCCGGGCGCTCTTCCGGTCAATTGGCGGAGGGAGCCACGACCTCCTCTACCAGGAATTCCTGCCCTTGCTGCCCAACTTACTCCAAGGTAAGGCTCCAGGGAGAGCGAGAACCAGGGAGGCGTCATGAGGGAATCCAAACATTCTTGGTGGAAACCAGCCCGGTCTCTGTTGAAGGACTTTCAAAGGAAGACTCTGTCCGTAAGGAGTACATTTATTGATTAGCCCGTGTGTCAAGTGTTTGTCTTTAGATATTGGGATGTTTGAAAAGCACGTTTAAAATGACTGTGTTCGTAAGTGGTTTGGATAATAATAATAATAATAATAATAATGTATTGCCAGCTTGTAATACGTTTGGTATTGTTTGGAGCTGACCTGTTGCTTTGGTTGTGATTGTAATGATCAGCCCCCCCTCCCCTTATGTCGATGACTGGCTTAAAAATTGTAAATAAACAAGATGCAAGTGGGAAGCCTATGATATGACGAATATGATATGAGGCTGGATGGCCATCTGTCAGGGGTGATTTGAATGCAATATTCCTGCTTCTTGCCAGAATAGGGTTGGACTGGATGGCCCAGGAGGTCTCTTCCAACTCTTTGATTCTATGAATGCCTGTCGCCTTGCAGGTCTGAACATGCTGCAGAGCGGCCTGCACAAGCAGCACATGAAGGACCTGTTTGTGGAGCTTTGCCTCACCGTGCCGGTCCGGCTGAGCTCCCTCCTGCCTTACTTGCCCATGCTGATGGATCCTTTGGTCTCGGCCTTGAACGGCTCCCAGACGCTGGTCAGCCAAGGCCTGCGGACCCTCGAGTTGTGCGTGGACAACCTCCAGCCGGACTTCCTGTACGACCACATCCAGCCCGTGCGCGCAGAGCTCATGCAGGTAGGAACGACACAGCGGCCGGAAACTGTCAGTGGAGTGTCGATGATCTCAACACACACACAAGGCATTGAGACACATCTTCTGGTCTATCAAAACCTAGTTTATTTAAAACAAAACTAAAAATACTAAAACTAAGCAGAACGAGAAAACAAAACAGCTACATTGCTCCGGCCAATCGTTGCAAACCACCTTCAGGCTTCAGACAGTTCTGACTGTTCACTCCCACATTCCTTAGAGACGTGATGACGTACGAGGTAGCACAGCGCTCTCCACATTGAGATTTATGACTCCTCCTTCACGATATAGTTAACCCTCTCCACACAGGAATTACATCTTGGCGCATTGCAAATCAAGGCATTGCATTTCTAAGCACAAAATCACTAACTTTGAAAACTACAAATCACAGTCCAAAACACTGACAGAAACGACCGCTGGAGGTCAGCGTTTGCTCAGAAAAGGGGCCAGATGTTTATCATACTGATTTTTTTTGTTGTGTAAATTAAAAAAAAAACAAAAAGAGAAGGAAAAGGGAAAAAACAGAAAGAAAAACATGTAAACAAGAAAATATTAACAAGACATTAAACACCCATTAAAATCAATTATATACAATATGTAAAAAAGAAAAGAAAATATTAACAAGACGTTCTATGGCCATTTAAAGCAAATCATTTACAAAATATTAATGACCCTGTGTGTTACACTAGGGCCCTGAAGCCTCTTTTCACCACAAACCTCACACTGTCCAGATACTCCAACCTAAGAGTTTATTAAAAGCAGAGTATAATAAAAACCGGATATATGAAAAGCAAGCAAATACAAAAAGGGAATCTAAAGTTCAAAGGTTATGTTCATAGAAGCCAAAAGCCCAAAAATCCCTTCAGAGAAAGTGTCTAAAATAATTACAGTGAGGTATTCAAAGGCAGGGTACATAAATTCAAGGCAGGCAATACCATACGTCATAATACTGGAACGCACGAACATCTTGACACTTGGTTACATGCATTTCTTGGCCCTTGACACCAAGAGCGCTGTACCTGAATACAGCGTTGCTCTCACAAGGATTGTATCAACATGAACCACTTTTAAAAGCCAAGAATCCCTCCCATGATGTCGTTTCTGTTGCACCTGCTTCCTACTCCTTATCTCTAAACCACCTTGGAGAAGCAAGTCCTTAATTGCTGACCTTGTTGTCTCAACTCCAGTCTCTCTGACCTCGACAAGCATTTGTCTCCCATATTTACTGCAGGTTCCGATGGGAATAGACTTCACTGTTCGCTTGGGACCTGCCAGGAGATTCCAAAACATTTCTCTCTGCACCCTCTGAATAATAAATAACCTTGACTCGAGTATAAGCCGGGGGAGACTTTTTCAGCCCCCCCAAAAGAACTGAAAAACTAGGCTTATACTCAAGTATATACAGTAAATACCACAAATATAAATAAATAAATAAATAAATAAATAAAATGAGCACTTTAAAGACTTTATTCTGCTGCCCCGCATCAGATTTGGTTTCGAAGCAGCTTACGATATTTTTAAAACCTCTGTATGGGACAAACCTAAAGCGCGTGCCAACCCTCTCCTCCCAGGCCTTGTGGCGGACGCTGCGCAATCCCGCCGAGACCATCTCCCACGTCGCCTACCGCGTTCTGGGCAAGTTCGGCGGCAGCAACCGGAAGATGCTGAAGGAGTCGCAGAAGCTGCAGTACGTTGTGACGGAGATCCAAGGGCCCAGCATCACCGCCGAGTTCTCCGACTGCAAGGCCTCCATCCAGCTCCCCATGGAGAAGGTAAGCGGCCTGCGTTCTCATTCGGCCGTTGCAAACTCACGCCCACCCTCAAATCCTAACAAGGGTGGACGAGGTGGCTTTTGGCCTCCGTTCCAACTCAGGTCCTTTGGAGGAAGTGGTGGGGAGGGATACGTGGCTGACATGAGTACTCTAAATACTCTAAAAAGCATTTAAAACAGTGTTTCTCAACCTTCCTAATGCCACGACCCCTTAATACAGTTCCTTATGTGGTGGTGACCCCCCAAACATAAAATTATTTCATTGCTACTTCATAACTGTAATTTTGCTATTGTTATCGATTGTAATGTAATGAAAGTGTATTTTCATTGACTGAACCAAATTTGGCACAAATACCTGATACACCCTTGTTTGAATACTAGTGGAGGTTCAGGGGTGGGGGCGTTATTTTGTCATTTGGGAGTTGCAGTTGCTGGGATTTATAGTTCACCTACAATCAAATAACATTCTGAACTCCACCAACAATGGAATTGAACCAAACTTAGCACTCAGAACTTCAATGACCAACAGAAAAAACTGTAAAGATTTGGTGAGCATTGACCTTGAGTTTTGGAGTTGTAGTTGACCTACATCCAGGGAGCGCTGTGGACTCAAACAATGATGGTTCTGAACCAAACTTGGCACAAATACTCAATATGCCCAAATGTGAATACTGGTGGAGTTTGGGGAAAATAGATCTTGACATTTGGGAGTTGTAGTTGCTGGGATTTATAGTTCACCTATAATCAAAGAGCATTCTGAACCCCACCAACAATAGAACTGGGCCAAACTTCCCACACAGGACCCCCATGACCAACGGAAAATACTGCATTTTCTGATGGTCTTCAGCGACCCCTCTGACACCCCCTCGCGACCCCTCCAGGGGTCCCGACCCCCAGGTTGAGAAACACTGATTTAAAAGGTTCTCCAGGTCGTGTGTATAAGTATATCACAGAGGGATACATAGAAAGAAGGTAGACACACAAGCTCTATATACTACACTGTTCTGGGCACACAAACAAAGGGGATATTAAATTTCACTCAGCATCCACACACATAGACCCAATCATTCACCCTCATGCATACGTTACTACCTCTTCTTTCTTCTCCTGGAAACAGACCCAAAGCTGGTCAGATTGCGTTCCCGGTAAATGCACCATTCTGCAAGTACACCATCTTCTTCCGTCCCTTGGGTGGGCCAGACTCCTCAGGTCTGCCACAATTTTTGGATAGCACAGTGTCTCTTATCTAGCTATATTTCTTGCTGATGTTCCAGTTGTCTTTGTAAATGACTTACAGGCATTTTTCCAGCCAAAACATGATGACTCCCGTCAGTTCCAGAGAGATGTTGACCTTGCTTCCTTAAGCGATTATTGGTTTTCCTTCTTCAATAAGGAGGCTTGTTTGTTTCCTTAACTTAACATAAGGAACTTTGTAAACACTTCCTAACTTAAAGAACCATTGCCTTTAGTAATGTAAACATGTTGTTTTCCACCAAGAGTTCAACAGTTAATCATTTGGGTTGTTGTAGGTTTTTTCGGGCTATATGGCCATGTTCTACAGGCATTTTCTCCTGACGTTTCGCCTGCGTCTATGGCAAGCATCCTCAGAGGTAGTGAGGTCTGTTGGAACTAGGAAAAAGGGTTTATATATCTGTGGAATGACCAGGGTGGGACAAAGGACTCTTGTCTGCTGGAGCTAGGTGTGAATGTTTCAACTGACCACCTTGATTAGCATATCATGGCCTGACAGTGCCTGGGGCAATCTTTTGTTGAGAGGTGATTAGATGTCCTTGGGTTGTTGTAGGTTTTTTCGGGCTATATGGCCATGTTCTAGAGGCATTCTCTCCTGACGTTTCGCCTGCATCTATGGCAAGCATCCTCAGAGGTAGTGAGGTCTACTGGAACTAGGAAAGTGGGTTTATATATCTGTGGAATGATCAAGGTGGGGCAAAGAACTCTTGTCTGCTGGAGCTAGATCTGAATGTCTCAACTGACCACCTTTATTAGCATTTGATTAGATTGTACTGCATTTTTCAATTGAGGATTTATTTATTTTATTTATTTATTTACAGTTCTTATATTCCGCCCTTCTCACCCCGCAGGGGACTCAGGGCGGATTACAGTAAACACATATATGGCAAACATTCAATGCCAGTTTGACAAACAACATTTAACAGACAAAGGCTATTTAACTTTTTTTTCTGGCCGCCAGGGGAGCTGCTGGTTTTCATCGTCCATCAACGACACCGATGAAGTTCTTCCGCATTCCACATTCCCCGGAGTCTTCTTTCTTTATGGCCTCATAAATTAGTTAAATTTAGCCTCCCACACAAGGTGGTCCCTTATTTTCCTACTTGACAGATGCAACTGTCTTTCGGGTTGCAAAGGTCGACAACAGGCTACACAATGGTTGGAAACCCACTCCAACCCGGGCTGGCTTCGAACTCATGACCTTTTGGTCAGAGTGATCTTAATGCAGCTGACACTCAGCCAGCTGCGCCACAATCCCGGTGCATCTATGGCAAGCATCCTCAGAGGTAGTGAGGTCTGTTGGAACTAGGAAAATGGGTTTATATATCTGTAGAATGACCAGGGTGGGACAAAGGACTCTTGTCTGCTGGAGCTAGGTGTGAATGTTTCAACTGACCACCTTGATTAGCATATAATGGCCTGACAGTGCCTAGAGCAATCTTTTGTTGAGAGGTGATTAGCTGTGCCTGATTGTTTTCCCTCTGCTGTTTTGCTGTTTGGCTTCTCTGTGTAGTCTGACATGGTGGTTGTGACGTCCTCCTTTTCTTGTTTCTTAGGCGATTGAGACGGCCTTGGACTGCCTGAAGAGCGCCAACACGGAGCCATATTACCGGAGGCAGGCGTGGGAGGTCATCAAGTGCTTCTTGGTGGCCATGATGAGCCTGGACGACAACAAGCACGCCCTCTATCAGCTTCTGGCCCATCCCAAGTGAGTGCCCCTTACGTTACCTGTGTAATCTCTTTCTACCTTGGCTTCCTCCTTCAAGGGGACCCAGGATCTAAAAATTGGTTAATAGGTCAATTAAAAAAGGTGAGAAAAACAACACCCCCACAATTAAATAAATAGATTGTACCTCCCGCCTTCCCTTTGACCCCTGCAGCTTCACGGAGAAGTCCATTCCCAGCGTGATCATCTCTCACCGGTACAAAGCCCAGGACACGCCGGCACGCAAGACCTTTGAGCAAGCCTTGACCGGGGCCTTCATGTCGGCCGTGATCAAGGACCTGCGCCCCAGCGCACTCCCCTTCGTGGCCAGCCTCATCCGCCACTACACCATGGTGGCCGTGGCACAGCAGTGCGGTGAGTCCCTGCTCTCTTATGTCCCCCGAGAGAGGGCGTTCCTCGCTCTTCTTGCACCGTAAGCAAGGTCAAATGGCCTTCTGATATAACTGGGCTGGCTATTGCAGGGTGAAGTGGCCCTCTGGTGTCACTGAACTGGCTGTTGCTTGGTCAAGTGGCCTCCTGTGGTGCCACTGTGCTGGCTGTTGCCAGGTTAAGTGGCCCTCTCATATAACTGGGCTGGCTGTTGCTAGGTGAAGTAACCCTCTAATCTAACTGACCTGGCAGTTGCTAGGTCAAATGATCCTCTGTGTTGTCACTGGATTTGCTGTTGCTAGGTCAAGTGGCCCTCTGATGTAACTGGGTTGGCTGTTGCTAGGTCAAGTGGCCCTCTGTTTTGTCACTGGATTAGCTGTTGCTAGGTCAAGTGACTCTTTGATCTAACTGACCTGGCAGTTACTAGGTCAAGTGGCCCTGTGTGGTGTCACTGCACTGGCTGTTGCTAGGTCAAGTGGCCCTCTGATGTAACTGGGTTGGCTGTTAGGTCAAGTGGCCTTCTTATCTAACTGGCCTGGCTGTTGCTAGGTCAAGTGGCCTTCTGTGGTGTCACTGCACTGGCTGTTGCTAGGTCAAGTGGCCCTCTGTGGTGTCACTGTATTGGATGTTGCTAGGTCAAGTGGTTCTCTGATCTAACTGGCCTGGCTGTTTCTAGGTCAAGTGGCCCTCTGTTTTGTCACTGGACCGGCTGTTGATAGGTCAAGTGGCCCTCTGATCTAACTGACCTGGCAGTTACTAGGGCAGTGGCCTTCTCTGGTGTCACTGTGCTGGCTGTTGCTAGGTCAAGTGGCCTTCTGGTGTGACTGGTAAAGAATGGTGACATGTGTATGCGAGGGAGGAACCAAGAGAGCTGGAGAAAGGAGAAAGGAAAGGAAGAGAAAACTGGACAGCAAGGAAGGGAGGAGGAAGAAAGAAAAAGGGTGGGAGGAAAGGAAAGGAAAGGGGAAGAGGTATGAGGGGAGGGGAAAGGGGTGTCTGTGTGTACATAGTGTTTAAATAAAACTGTGGCGTGGTAGTTTGGGGCTTGTGGAGGGAGCGTTTCCTAATGGAAGAAGAAGCCAGCCCCGCTTTGGGTTCCTGTGGCGAATGGCCTTGTTGGTGTGTGCCCCATTCCCCGTTGCAGGCCCTTTCCTGCTGCAATGCTACCAGGTGGGGAGCCAGCCCAGCACGGCCATGTTCCACAGCGAGGAGAACGGCTCCAAAGGCATGGACCCGCTGGTCCTGATCGACGCCATCGCCATCTGCATGGCCTACGAGGAGAAGGAGCTCTGCAAGATCGGGGAGGTCGCCCTGGCCGTCATCTTCGACGTCGCCAGCATCATCCTCGGCTCCAAGGAAAGGGTCAGCGTCGGGAGCACGTGGGGGGGGGGCACGGCCGGGGGGGCGGATGGGTGGGGCACGGCCGGGGGGGAGGGTGGACGGATGCACACGTGTTTGTGTATGTATATAGTATTAATAATAATAACAATAACCAAAATCATGATAACAATAATAATATATGTGTGTGTATATGAGTATATATGCATACCTATATGTGTTTGTATATAATATTAATAATAACAATAATAATAATAATAACTACTACAATAATAATTGAGAAAATCACGATCTGTCAACCGCAAAAGGCCACCTGACTTGGATCTGCATGCATCATTCGAAAATACATCACCCAGTCCTATACGCTTGGGAAGACCTGTGATTTTGTGATACGAAATCCAGCATATAGATCTCATTTGCTGTGTCAGACTGTGGTTTTATGTCAGTAAAATCATCATCATCATCATCATCATTTTATTTCTTGCCTACCTCTCCTCACAGCTTGAAGCAGGTTATGTGTGTGTGTGCATAAAATTTGGTAATGTGCATTTTGCAAATTGTATGCATCACCTGAACATATTCTGCTATTGATCAATGCAGGCTTGCACAATGATTTTCTGCACATTTGAAATGTTCTAGGGTGTAGATCCACAGCTGTGTTCTCACATGCAGATTGCAATGTGTGCATCGTCCTCCCATTGGGGTCTAGGGATGGTTCTTATACTATTGTATTATTATTATTGTTATTATGATGATGGTGGTGCAGAGATTCCTGGCACCTCGAGGCCACTTCTGATTCCTGAATGTGATGTTATGTTCTGAGTGGAGGCCGGGCCCTCCGGTACTCATCTGAGCGAGCCCTGTTTGCCTCCCTCCCTCCCTGCCTCCCTACCTTGCAGGCTTGCCAGCTGCCCTTGTTCTCGTACATCGTGGAGCGCCTGTGCGCCTGCTGCTACGAGCAAGCCTGGTACGCCAAGCTGGGCGGCGTGGTGTCCATCAAGTTCCTCATGGAGCGGCTGCCCCTCATCTGGGTCCTCCAGAACCAGCAGACCTTCCTCAAGGCCCTCCTCTTCGTCATGATGGACCTCACCGGAGAGGTATTGGCATGCCGCCCTTTATTGCGCGCGCCTCACTCGCGTTCAGGTGTTGTGCAGGGTGTGTGCATGTTGGGTCGCTCGTAAGTCAAAGTATTTGTATGCAAGATAAGATGTCCATTGTGAAGAACCGAGCAACGACTCATATTTCCTAAAGCTCACCTGTTGGGTCGCTCGTAAGTCAAAGTATCTGTATGTAAGATAAGATTTTCGTTGTGAAAAAACGAGCGACAACTCGTATTTCCTAAAACTCACATGTTGGGTCGCTCGTAAGTCAAAATATCTGCATGTAAGATAAGATTTTCATTGTGAAAAACTGAGCGATGACTCGTATTTCCAAAAACTCGCATGTTGGGTCACTCATAAGTCAAGGTATCTGTATGCAAGATAAGATTTTCATTATGAAAAACCGAGCGACGACTCGTATTTCCTAAAACTCTCATGTTGGGTTGCTCGTAAGTCAAAGTATCTGTATGTAAGATTTATTTATTTATTTATTTATTTACTTCATTTGTTGACCGCCGCTCTCAGCCCTGGGGCGACTCGCGGCGGTGCACAACATATAAAAACAGTCTACAAAAGCATACAATAAATCGACAACCAAATTACACATTAATCTAAATTACAATAATAAATCCGTGCCATCATAAGATAAGATTTTCATTGTGAAAAACCGAGTGACAACTCGTATTTCCTAAAACTCTCATGTTGGGTTGCTCTTAAGTCAAGGCACCTGTTGTAAGATAATATTTTCATTGTGAAAAACCGAGCAACGACTCATATTTCCTAAAACACACATGTTGGGTTGCTCGTAAGTCATAGTATATGTATGTCAGATAAGATTTCCATTGTGACAAACAGAGCGACGACTCGTATTTCCAAAAACTCGCATGTTGGGTTGCTCGTAAGTCAAAGTATCTGTATGTAAGATAAGATTTTCATTGTGAAAAACCGAGTGACAACTCGTATTTCCTAAAACTCACATGTTGGGTCACTCGTAAGTCAAAGTATCTGTATGTAAGATAAGATTTTCATTGTGAAAAACCGAGGAATGACTCGTATTTCCTAAAACTTACATGTTGGGTCGCTCGTAAGTCAAAACTCATATATTGGGTCGCTCGTAAGTCAAGGTATCTGTATGTAAGATAAGACTTCCATTTTGAAAAACTGAGTGACGGCTCGTATTTCAAAAATCTCGCAAGTTTTGTCACTCATAAGTCAAAGTATCTGTATAAAAGGTAAGATTTCCACTGCTAAAGTGGAGTCGCTCTGAAACGGGTGCATTGATGCCTCTGTGACTTGTGCGCGTAGGTGTCGAACGGTGCTGTCGCCATGGCCAAAACCACGCTGGAACAGCTCTTGATCCGGTGCGCGACTCCGCTGAAGGACGAAGAGAAGGCGGAAGACATCCTGGCCGCCCAGGAGAAGTCCTTCCACCACGTCACCCACGACCTGGTCCGCGAGGTCACCTCCCCCAACTCCACCGTGCGGAAGCAAGCCATGCACTCCCTGCAAGTCCTGGCACAAGTCACCGGGAAGAGCGTCACCGTCATCATGGAGCCCCACAAAGAGGTGAGGCCGGGCGGTGGAGGCGCATTGCCCGTGGTTTGGTTGAGATGCGCAACGGAGGGATCATAGACTCATAGAATCACAGATGTCTTGTCAAAGGCTTTCATGGCCGGAATCACTGGGTTGTAGGTTTTTTTGGTGCTCACCGAGAACCAAGGCCATGCTTGAGGGGCCCATTGCTTTCTTTCGGCAGGTTCTCCAAGACATGGTTCCTCCGAAGAAGCACCTTCTCCGGCACCAGCCTGCCAACGCCCAGATCGGCTTGATGGAGGGGAACACCTTCTGCACCACGCTCCAGCCCCGGCTCTTCACCATGGACCTCAACGTGGTGGAACACAAAGTCTTCTACACAGAGGTACACGCACCGGCTTACGTTTACATACTCTTTTAGCTCGAAGGTTATCCATATTACATTTATAGGTCAACTTTATTATTTTTATTATTACATTTATTATTTTACTCTATTATTATTATTATTATTATTATTATTATTACTATTATTACATTTATAGGTTAGCTTTATTATTTTTATTATTATTACATTTATTATTTCACTCTAATATTATTACTATTACTATTATTACATTTATAGGCCAACTTTATTATTTTTGTTATTACATTTATTATTCTACTCTATTATTATCATTACTATTACTTTTATTTCATTTATAGGTCACCTTTATTATTTTTGTTATTATTACATTTATTATTTTATTCTATTATTATCATTACTATTACTATTATTACATTTATAGGTTAGCTTTATTATTTTTATTATTATTACATTTATTATTTTACTCTATTATTATTATTACTATTAATAATAATAATACTGGATACAACCCAAAAAATGACAGAATGATCTCAATTCGAGTGCAAGGAAAGCCTTTCAACATTACAGTGATCCAAATATACGCCCCAACCACAGCTGCTGAAGAAGCAGAAGTAGATCAGTTCTATGAGGATCTGCAGGACCTACTGGATAATACACCAAAAAGAGACATTATTTTCATTACAGGAGACTGGAATGCCAAGGTGGGAAGTCAAATGACAACTGGGATCACAGGCAAGCATGGTCTGGGAGAACAAAATGGAAGCGGGACGCAGGCTGATAGAATTTTGCCAGGAAAACTCGCTGTGTATAACTAATACTCTCTTCCAACAACCTAAAAGACGGCTTTACACATGGACCTCACCAGACCGTCAACACCGAAATCAGATTGACTACATCCTTTGCAGCCAAAGGTGGCGGACATCCATCCAGTCGGTGAAAACAAGACCTGGGGCTGACTGTAGCTCAGATCACGAACTTCTTATTGCCCAAGTTAGAATAAAACTAAAGAGATCAGGGAAAATACACAGACCAGTTAGATATGATCTCACTAACATTCCTAGCGAATATACAGTGGAAGTGAAGAACAGATTTGAAGGACTAGATTTAGTAAACAGAGTCCCAGAAGAACTATGGACAGAAGTCCGTGACATTGTTCAGGAGGCGGCAACAAAGTACGTTCCAAAGAAAAAGAAAACCAAGAAGGCAAAATGGTTGTCTGCTGAGACACTGGAAGTAGCCCAAGAAAGGAGGAAAGCAAAAGGAAACAGGATAAGGGGAGATATGCCCAGTTAAATGCGCAATTCCAGAGGTTAGCCAGAAGAGATAAGGAACTATTTTTAAATAAGCAATGCATGGAAGTGGAAGAAGACAACAGAATAGGAAGGACACGAGACCTCTTCCAGAAAATTAGAAACATTGGAGGTAAATTTCAGGCAAAAATTGGTATGATAAGAAACAAAGATGGCAGGGACCTAACAGAAGCTGAAGAGATCAAGAGAAGGTGGCGAGACTATACAGAAGATCTATATAGGAAGGATAATAATATCGAGGATAGTTTTGATGGTGTGGTGAATGAATTAGAACCAGACATCCTGAAGAGTGAGGTTGAATGGGCCTTAAGAAGCATTGCTAACAACAAGGCAGCAGGAGACGACGGGATCCCAGCTGAACTGTTTAAAATCTTAAAAGATGATGCTGTCAAGGTGATGCATGCCATTTGCCAGCAAATATGGAAAACACAAGAATGGCCATCGGACTGGAAAAAATCAACTTATATCCCCATACCAAAAAAGGGAAATGCGAAAGACTGCTCAAACTTCCGTACAGTGGCCCTTATTTCTCATGCCAGTAAGGTAATGCTCAAGATCCTGCAAGGAAGAAGACTCCAGCAAGACATGGAGAGAGAGTTGCCAGATGTTCAAGCTGGGTTTAGAAAAGGCAGAGGAACGAGAGACCAGATTGCCAATATCCGGATGCTGGAGAATGGAGAAAGGCAGGGAGTTTCAGAAAAACATCTACTTCTGCTTTTGACTATTCTAAAGCCTTTGACTGTGTGGATCATAATAAATTGTGGCAAGTTCTTAGTGGGATGGGCATCCCAAGCACCTTGTCTCTCTCCTGAGGAATCTGTACAAGGACCAAGTAGCAACAGTAAGAACTGACCATGGAACAACAGACTAGTTCGAGTTTGGGAAAGGTCTACGACAGGGTTGTATACTCTCACCCAACGTATTCAACTTTTATGCAGAACACATCGTGCGATGTGTGAGGCTTGATGAATGCAAGGCTGGGGTAAAAATTGCTGGAAGAAACATTAACAACTTTAGATATGCAGATGATACCACTTTGATGGCCGAAAGCGAGGAGGAGCTGAGGAGCCTTCTAATCAAGGTGAAAGAAGAAAGCGCAAAAGCCGGGTTGCAGCTAAACATCAAAAAAAACCAAGATTATGGCAACAAGAATGATTGACAACTGGAAAATAGAGGGAGAAACCGTGGAGGCCGTGACAGACTTTGTATTTCTAGGTGCAAAGATTACTGCAGATGCAGACTGTAGCCAGGAAATCAGAAGACGCTTACTTCTTGGGAGGAGAGCAATGTCCAGTCTCGATAAAATAGTAAAGAGTAGAGACATCAGACTGGCAACAAAGATCCATTGCCTAGTCAAAGCCATGGTATTCCCTGTAGTCACCTACGGATGTGAGAGCTGGACCATAGGGAAGGCTGAGCGAAGGAAGATCGATGCTTTTGAGCTGTGGTGTTGGAGGAAAGTGCTGAAAGTGCTGAGAGTGCCTTGGACTGCGAGAAGATCCAACCAGTCCATCCTCCAGGAAATAAAGCCCGACTGCTCACTGGAGGGAAAGATACTAGAGACAAAGTTGAAGTACTTTGGCCACATCATGAGGAGACAGAAAAGCCTAGAGAAGGACAATTATGCTGGGGAAAGTGGAAGGCAAAAGGAAGAGGGGCCGACCAAGGGCAAGATGGATGGATGGCATCCTTGAAGTGACTGGACTGACCTTGAGGGAGCTGGGGGTGGTAACGGCCGACAGGGAGCTCTGGCGTGGGCTGGTCCATGAGGTCACGAAGAGTCGGAGACGACTGAACGAATGAACAACAACAATTATTACATTTATAGGTCAACTTTACTATTTTTATTATCATTACATTTATTATTTTACTCTATTATTATCATTACTATTACTATTATTACATTTATAGGTTAGCTTTATTATTTTTATTATTACGTTTATTACTTTATTATTATTATTACTATTACTATTATTACATTTATAGGTCAACTTTATTATTTTTATTATTATTACATTTATTATTTTACTCTATTATTACTATTTCTATTATTACATTTATAGGTCAACTTTATTATTTTTATTATTATTACATTTATTATTTTACTCTATTATTGTTATTACTATTACTATTTGTGACGATGTGTAAGTTTTATTCCTTTGGTTATGTGTAGTTTGGACAGTGGTTTAGGGATGGTAAGTATAGGAGATTATGTTTTGTGAGAGATGGTGGCTTGGCGTTAGCTGAGTTGCCATAGCAACAGGGGCGGAGCCAACCGCCTCTTCAGGAGGCAGCTGTTGTAAAAAAGTCAGTCAGTACGCCGGTGAGCTACTGAGAGGACTGAGTCTCTGGGTGGAGATTCAGGGAATGTGTCTGTAGCTGGTGTGCTATAGGAAAGACTGAATCTCAGGGTGGGGATTCAGGGAATCAATTGGTGACCAAAGTAGTTGCAGAGAAGGACCCGGTAGTGAGAGAGCTACAGGGGGTTTTGATTCTAAATTAAGAATCAAGGTTTGGCTGGGTTTAAGCCTGATGTGCCTGCTGTGAAACGTTTTGAAGTCTGTGCCTGAGATTACTCATGAAACCTTTCCAATGTAACCATCAAGATTTGTGCCTCTTGAGAAGAAACAGTTAAACATGTTATACTCCTGTTAAAATAAACTTGTTACTGTTTTCCTCAAGCCTTGCCTGATACAGTTTCTTCTAAATTGAACAGCCTGCAATAGTGAAGTCAGCCAGGAACAGTAAACGCTACGCTATCCACTGAATAAAACCTTCTGTAATTAACAGTCCCTTTATAAAATAGCTCCTAGGTTGATATTGATCGTTGCCCGGCTTCCGTCATAGATTAGGTGGCAGTGGGTGTTTTACAACAACGCCTTTACAACTGGTGGCATTCGGTGGCATTAAAACGGTTTTCTTCACACTATTATTACATTTATAGGTTAGCTTTATTATTTTTATTATTATATTTATTATTTTACTTTATTACTATTTCTATTATTACATTTATAGGTCAGCTTTATTATTTTTATTATTACATTTATTATTTTACTCTATTATTATTACTGTTACTATTACATTTATAGGTTAGCTTTATTATTTTTTATTACATTTATTATTTTACTCTATTATTATCATTACTATTACTATTGTTACATTTATAGGTTAGCTTTATTATTTTTATTATTATTACATTTATTATTTTACTCTATTATTATTGGAAGGATACATAAACACATGTACATTGAATAATGGTTTAGTCAGAGTTGGACACTCGTATCTTACAGTTTTATGTACATGTTAATAAACATTCAACCTACCAATGCTTCAATTAATGTAATTTTATTGGTATCTATTTTTATTTTGAAACTGACCCGCAGCTGCTGCATTTCTCACCCTCGGCTTATACTTGAGTCAATACGTTTACCCAGTTTTCCCAGGTGCCTCAGCTTATATTTGGGTTGGCTTATACTCGAGTATATACGGTATTTTTGTGTGAAGATATCATCCTCTGCCTTGCAATGAGATTTGCCCAAAGTCCGTGTTGAGGCAGAACGGCAAACTCTCTGTGATCTGGAACCGTTTACAAGGCCGGCTGTGTGAGCCTCGTCCAATTAAAACGACGACAAGGGATCCCTCTGAGGTGTCAACGTTGACGTCTTGACTGGCACCTTATTAGAAGACTTAGCCAAGCAATTGGGCATCGGTGTCGGTGTCGGTGTTGAAGAGTTTCCTTCCAGATTGCCTGTCAGCTGGCTCTGTCCAAAGCACAACGGGCTGGCTTAACACTCTTTGCTCTTCCCTTCCAGCTTCTGAATTTGTGTGAGGCCGAAGACAGCGCCTTGATGAAGCTGCCTTGCTACAAGAGCCTCCCCTCCCTGGTCCCGCTCCGCATTGCCGCGCTGAGTAAGTTCCTCACACTTTGACCTCCCCCTGAGAGATTCCTTTACGTTGTTGCCCAGCAAGTGGATGGGGATTCCTCCGAGAACGAGTTGGGTGACGGGTTTCAAACTGAGCCGAGTTTTCCCACCAGGTCAGATTAGATCTCCGGACAGAGGGAGTGAAAGATAGATTACTTAGGCATTCTGAGAGACTCTGTGAGAAGCCCTTGAAGCCCAGGTGCATTCGGCATGATCTCATGGGCTCTTGGTTGGGCTTGGGCTTAAATTAAGTGGTGTTTACTTGGTGTGTCTCAGAGGAGGCAACGTCACCATGAGTCTTCCAAGCAAAGGACAAGAACAAGGACTTGGCAGGATTTTGAAACGATGCTTCATCTGACTATATTTTCCCTGGTGGGAACTTTATATCCCTCCGTTAGGCTATTCCCAGCACCCAGAAACTGGTTTCGTTTTCCTTAACTGCCTCTCGCCCTTATCCCTCGAAGCCCGACAGAGTGGCGAAGGCCTTGGCTAAGCTGTCTGTTTTGGCTAAATTCCAGCAGTCTGTCTATTTCCTCATTATCTATCTGCTCATTAGTTTCTCCAGGTGCCAAGTTGTTTTCAAACGCCCAATTTTGGGAACTCTCTGGGTCAGGGAGTAAGCTATCATCCCTATACCCCGTAGGAACATTCTCATAGGAAAATACACTTTGAACCAGTGTCCCTATGTCATTCTCTGCATTAATATCTTTGACCAGACCATTGCCATCTTGACCCTCAGTGACATCACTCCCCACATCTAAAGCACCTTGATCATCTTGAAACACAATCACAGGCTGAACTCCAACAAAAGGTCCATTTCTCTGGGAATCGGCCTTCAGCTGATGGGGAGTTTTCCCATGAAGTCAGATTAGATCTCTGGACAGAGGGAGTGAAAGATAGATTACTTTGGCATTCTGAGAGACTCTGTGAGAAGCCCTTGAAGCCCAGGTGCGTTCGGCATGATCTCATGGGCTCTTGGTTGGGTTTGGGCTTAAATTAATTGGTGTTTACTTGGTGTGTCTCAGAGGAGACAACGTCGCCATAAAGTTTGGGTTCCTTTCTCAGCTCTCAAGTTCATGATGCAAATATTTATATTCCGCCCTTCTCCTCACCCCGCTGGGGGCTCAGGGCGGATTACAATGGATACATTCATGGCAAACATTCAATGCCATGGCTTGGCTGTTGTTTGGTGTGGCTTGTTGGTGCCTGGGACAATCTTTTGTTGGGAGGCAATTGTTGGGAGGAGGCCAAAGGAGTGTATGGGAAGGACATCGAATCACCTCTCAACAAAAGATTGCTCCAGGCAGTGCTAATCAAGGTGGTCAGTTGAAACATCCACACCTAGCTCCAGCAGACAAGAGTCCTTTGTCTCACCCTGGTCATTCCACAGGTATATAAACCTTTTTTCCTAGTTCCAACAGACCTCACCAGCTCTGAGGACGCTTGCCATAGATGCAGGCGAACATCAGGAGAGAGTGCCTCAGGACCATGGCCATATAGCCTGAAAAAACCTACAACATCCCAATAAAACAATCATTAAAACAATTAAATGGCAAACAATCCTTTCGATCCTCCTGTTTTCCTCCTCCTCCTCCTCCTCCTCTCCTTGCAGCCTGTTGCTCTTGGCAAAGCATTTTTTAATCCCTCCACAATTTAGGGAATGAAAGGAGTGTGACAATAGAAATGCAAAGAAATGACTTGTTTCTCTCCCTCTTTTTAATTCCCTGTTAACACAGAGGCCCATTTTCCCCTTTGGTTTCTCTTTTTTGCAGACGCCTTAGCCGCTTGCAATTACTTGCCACAGTCGAGAGAGAAAATCATTGCGGCGCTGTTCAAGGCACTCAACTCCACCAACAACGAGCTCCAGGAGGCCGGAGAGGCGTGCATGAGGAAGGTGGGTGTGCCGCGGTCTTGACGGCGACGCTCTTTGTGTCCAAGTAACAAGGCTGCGGCCTTGCCATTGGGAGTAATGGCCGCTCTGTTTATATCTGTGTTTGCGTGGTGCCCACATAATTGGGTGTTGTTATGTTTTCCTATTTTGCAAGCGGCTCGGTCTTGGGCAGAAGACGCTTTTTTGCCGCGTCGCAGGTGTGTACGCACTCCCACTTCCCGGACGGAGAACATGTTTTCCCCGGAGGTGCTTTGCTGGCGTCCTGCTGCCATTGGCCCCATAATCTCGGGGAGCGGGTTGTTGATAATGCATGTTATAAAGAATACACAATCCTGACACGGAGTTATTATAAGTATGCTATTCTAAATCACACCGCTGGTCACCACTCTAAAGAACTATAGAACTAAAGAACTGCCATTTATAATTAAATTTTTAAAGTTTTGTTAGAGTTCTGACATTTTCACCACCAGAACTTTAGCAACACTGTAGAAGCAAAGCACCAGCGCCCCCTAGAGCGAGGGGCAAATTCTTGAGTCAGGCTCCTTCTGCCCTGAGGACAACGATGGTTTTTCTTCCATGCAGTTCTTGGAAGGCGCGACCATCGAGGTCGACCAGATCCACACGCACATGAGGCCGCTGCTGATGATGCTGGGCGACTACCGGAGCCTGACGCTCAACGTGGTCAACCGGCTTACCTCCGTGACCCGGCTCTTCCCGAATTCCTTCAACGACAAGTTCTGCGATCAAATGATGGTAATTTTGCTTTTTTTTCTTCATATATTGCTCCAAACGCATTTTGAAACTGAAAACCAAAATCCATTTCCTGAAAGAGTAGTTTGAAAAAGTCCCGGTTGATGTTGTCGAACGCTTTCTCAGCGTCAATAGAGAGCTTGAATGGCTATTGATCTGCTTGGCTTGCTATGAGTTGTTTGGGCTGTATGGCCAATGTATTCAGCAGCATTCTCTCCTAACATTTCACCTGCATCTGTGGCTAATGGTTTTCTCAGAGGTCTGTTCAGAGATCTGTTGAAAGTGAGGCAAGTGGAGTGTATATCTACTTGTGGAATAGTGTCCAGGGCGGGAGGAAGAACCCTTGCCTGTTTCAAGCAAGTGTGGATGTTGCAGTTGGCGAGCTTGATTAGCATTGAGTGGCCATGAAGCTGCAAAGTCAATCAGGTATCAGCGTAGAGGTGGCCTGGCCTAATATTCAGGGAGAAACTCCAGACTCTTGGACCTAATATGCATGTGTGCTGTGTTGTTATGTATAAATAAATCTATAGTAATAAGATTGTAATATAATTCTTGGCACGGGGTGTTTATATGTATGTGAGGTAACGTGTGTACTCTGGTAGATTTGCTGCCACCACCTAAAATACTTTAGGATATTAAAGATATTAAAGATGATTCCCTGAGGTAAACTCCTTGGCCATGCCCACTTCTTGGTGCTTGGCCACGCCCACCTCGCAAAGCTGCTGATGCAAAGAGGAAGGAGGTGGGCGTGGCCAAGCGCAGCCCTCCTTGGAGGCCTCGCCCCCAGCGACCTCCGAGTGAGGAGCGCTGTGCTTGGCCCCGCCCACCTCTCCCTTGGACAGCTTGCCAGGGAAGAGGAAGAAAGGTGAGAGATTTTGAAAGTGTGAGTTGTACAATCTCCAAGGAGGGCTGTGCTTGGCCCCGCCCACCTCTCCCTTGGACAGCTTGCCAGGGAAGAGGAAGAAAGGTGAGAGATTTTGAAAGTGTGAGTTGTACAATCTCCAAGGAGGGCTGTGCTTGGCCCCGCCCATCTCTCCCTTGTGCCGGAAGGGATGCAAGGGAAACTGCGAGATTTTAATGGTTCTGGAGGGAGGGAAGGGCACCTTCCATTAACGGAACAAAGAAAACAATTCGTATTTCCTGATATTTCCGATCTTTTTTTGAAGAAAATTTCGTAAATAATTTCAAAATCGAACCTCCAGCGCCCCCTACATACGAAACGAGTTGAGAACCATTTTTTTTCTTGATCAACCAAGCCGACTGTATATAAGTGTGGGTTTTTTAAAACAAACAATCCACCCGGTAAGCGGACCAGCGTATACACGGATGAGTTCTGGAAGAGGGACCGGGCTCTCAAGCAGAAGCAGGCAGGCTTTTCCCTGCCGGAAGTCTGTCCAATGCCGGTGTGCTCCCCAAGTCTCATACGAGATCGGCATACTGTAAATCCCACGCTCACTTTCTAACCCAGGGGTCCTCAAACTTTTTAAACCGGGGGCCAGTTCACTGTTCCTTTAGACCGTTGGAGGGGCAGACTATAGGTTTTGTGTTTTTAAAAACCAATAAAAAATTTCCTCTGCACATTGCAGATATCTTATTTTGCGGTGTGGAAGGGCCCTTCGAGGGAGGGGGTTCTTTCTCGCCCTCGTTAGGCAGTAATTCCAGGAGCAGAGAAGGGGAAATCTTCCTATTTCTAGTCTGAACAAAATCTGGCTACCAGTATTAAGAAAACTCTAAAATTATCACTGTAGATAAAGAACAACACTCAAACACAGGGGAACTCCAGACAAGAAACAATCAGGGCCAGCTAATCACCTCTCAACAAAGGATTCTCTCTAAAAACTGTCAGGCTATGAAATGGTCATCAAGGTGGCCGATTGAAACATTCATACCTACCTCCAACAGACAAGAGTTCTTTCTCCCACCCTGGATCTTCCACAATTTTCCTAGTTAAAGGTTTTCCTCTGACATGAAGTCCAGTCGTGTCTGACTCTGGGGTGTGGTGCTCATCTGCATTTCTAAGTCGAAGAGCCAGAGTTGTCCATAGACACCTCCAAGGTCATGTGGCCAGCATGACTGCATGGAGCGCCGGGGCAGCCTCCCTTGGCTGGCTCACGCTGTCCATCGGGCCTGACGGATAGCATGAGCCTGCCAAGGGAAGGAGCAGCCCCGCGTGGCCTACTCACAGGTAAAGCACCTCACGATGTGCTTTACGCGCGAGTAGGCCACGCGGAGCAGCTGCCCTTGGCTGGCTCACGCTGCCCATCTGGCCTGACAGATAGCGTGAGTCAGACAAGGGAGGGGCACTTTGTGTGTGGGGGGGGGCGCTCCTCCTCCACGGGCCAAATAAGTGCCCTTGGCGGGCCGGAAGTGGCCCGCGGGCCATAGTTTGGGGACCCCTGTTCTAACCTAATAGGTGTTGTTGAAGAATGCAGGGTGTAACTCACTATTGGATTTTCTTGCAGCAACACCTGCGCAAGTGGATGGAGGTCGTTGTCATTACTCATAAAGGAGGGCAGAGGAGTGACGGAAACGTAAGTCGGTCGTTGGTTGTTTGCGGGCCCGGAAAAGTTAACTGGGTAGAGCGTTAGGCAACTGGAACCAGTCGTGGATTGTTTTGGTTTTGCACAAACTTTACCTGCTTACTGAGTGTTCCTTGTGTCGGTCTCTGTGCGAGAGAGGGAACGAAAGAGGGAACGAAAGAGGGAGATGCTGCTTGATAGAAGAATACAACAGGTTGTGTTTCTGTTTACGAATTGGCACCTACCATACTCATGCCATAATAATATTAACTTCCTCCTGCCTTAAGCATTTTCAAAGCCCTGCTTGAAAAGTCATGTTTTTAACTCTTTCCAAAAATGCTTTAGTGTGAGGGCTTAATAGTTCCATGGAGAGGCCGTTCCAAAGCCAGGGAGCCACCACCGAGAAGGCCCACTTTGTCTCTCGTCCTCACCAACCACACTTGAGACAGAGGCGGGACCAAGTGAAGGGCCTCCCCGGCAGATCTTCGAGCCTTCACCAGTTCAGAGGGGGAGATGTGGTCATGCTTTTCCCTGCAGATCAGCCATTCTGCAAATACACCAGTTCCACGGAGAGGGTGTTCCAAAGCTAGGGAGCCACCACCAGGAAGGCCTTCTTGTCCTCACCAACCATACTTGAAACGGAAGCGGGACCGAGAGGAGGGCCTCCCCAGTAGATCTTCGGACCTTCACCAGTTCATAAGGGGAGATGTGGTCACGAAAAGATTGCTTTTCCCTGCAAATCACCACCTTCCTCCGTCCCTTGGAGGAAGTGGCGGGTGACCAGACTTTGCTGTCTGCCCCATTTTTGGATATTAAAAAGGTCTCTTATATAGCAATATTTTGCTGTTGTTGTTCCAAATTGTTGTTTTTCCCCAGCTAATACATGCTGACTCCACCAGTTCCAGACAGATGTTAGCTTTTCTTCCTAAGTAAGGAGCATTGTTCGACTTTAACTTAGAGCAGCCGTTGCCTCTGGTAATGTAAACATGTTGTTTTCCACCAAGAGTTCAACAACAGTTAATCACTGTCCACAGTTTAGTAGTTTCTCCTTCATCAGCCTTAGGGCGTTTTCCATCATGAACTCTTCTAAGGATGGTGTCTTCAGGCTATGTAGGCCCCAACCCTACTTCTTTCGTTTAATATCATTCAAACCACACCTCATATTTATCACATCTACAAAGCTTTGGTGATATAGACCAGTCATAAAATTCCCCGTTAGAGCGGAATGGCGGAATGGACTCTATCAGTTCCAGTTAATGAGACAGGTAGTTGTCATGGTCTTTTTCTTCAAAAACATGAACATATAAACAAAGTTGTTGGTTTTTTTCCACGTGTTTTCTCCCGAGAGCCCTGTGTAGCCACATGCCCTGCCCTCTTCTTAGCATGTGAGAATCCTGCCGAGCCACATGCCCTGTCCTCCTCTTGGCAGAAGTTCACGCAAGAGGAGGGAAAGACACGTATCATGTGTCTTCTCCTGAGAGACCTGCATAATCACATGCTCTGCCCTCCTCTTAGCACATGAGAGTCCTGCAGAGCCACATGCTCGGCCCTCATCATAGCAGGAGGACACACAAGAAGAGGGAAAGACACATGAGAGCCACATGCCTTCTCCTGGGAGTCCCGCAGAGCCGCATGCCCTGCCCTCCTCTTAGCTGGAGGACACATAGGAAGAGGGGAAGACACATGAGAGCCACATGTCTTCTCCTGAGAGCTCTGTGCCGCCGCATGCCCCTCCCTCCTCTTAGTACATAAGAATCCTGTGCAGCCACATGCCCGGCCCTCTTCATAACAGGAGGACACACAATAGGAGGGGAAGACACGTGAGAGCCATGTGTCTTCTCCCAAGAGCCCTGCGCAGCTGCATGCCCTGCCTGCCTCTCAACACATGAGAATTCTGTGCAGCCACATGCCCAACCCTCTTCTTAGCAGAAGAACTCACAAGAGGAAGGGAAGATAAAGTGAGAGCCACATGTCTTCTCCCGAGAGCCCTGCGCAGCCGCATGCCCTGCCCTCCTCTTAGCACATGAGAGTCATGCACAGTCGCATGCCCTGCCCTCCTCTTGGCAGGAGGACACGCAAGAGGAAGGGAAGGCACATGACAGCCACGGGTCTTCTCCCGAGAGCCCTGTGCAGCCCCATGCCCTGCCCTCCTCTCAACACATGAGAGTCCTGCGCAGCCGCATGCCCTGCCCTTCTCTTAGCTGGAGGACACACAGGAAGTTGGGAAGACACATGAGAGCCACGTGTCTTCTCCCGAGAGTCCTGCACAGTCGCATGCCCTGCCCTCCTCTTAGCTTGAGGACACACAAGAAGAGGGGAAGACACATGAGAGCCATGTATCTTCTCCCAAGAGCCCTGTGCAGCCGCATGCCCTGCCCTCCTCTCAACACATGAGAGTCCTGCGCAATCGCATGCCTGGCCCTTTTCATAGCAGGAGGACACACAAGAGGAAGGGAAGATATGTGAGAGCCACATGTCTGCTCCCGAGATCCCTGTGCAGCCGTATGCCCTGCCCTCCTCTTAGTACATAAGAATCCTGCGCAGCCGCATGCCTGACCCTTTTCATAGCAGGAGGACACACAAGAGGAGGGGAAGACACATGAGAGCTAGGTGTCTTCTCCCGAGAGTCCTGCGCAGTCTCATGCCCTGCCCTCCTCTTAACACAGAGTCATGTGCAACCGCATGCCCTGCCCTCCTCTTGGCAGGAGGTCACACAAGAGGAGGGGAAATTACGTGAGAGCCACGTGTCTTCTCCCGAGATCCCTGCGCAGCCGCATGCACTGCCCTCCTCTTAACACATGAGAGTCATGCACAGCCGCATGCCCTGCCCTCCTCTTAACACAGAGTCCTGTGCAGCCGCATGCCCAGCCCTCCTCTTGGCAGGAGGACACGCAAGAGGAAGGAAAGGCACATGAGAGCCACGTATCTTCTCCCGAGAGCCCTGTGCAGCCGCATGCCCTGCCCTCCTCTTAACACAGAGTCATGTGCAACCGCATGCCCTGCCCTCCTCTTGGCAGGAGGTCACACAAGAGGAGGGGAAATTACGTGAGAGCCACGTGTCTTCTCCCGAGATCCCTGCGCAGCCGCATGCACTGCCCTCCTCTTAACACATGAGAGTCATGCACAGCCGCATGCCCTGCCCTCCTCTTAACACAGAGTCCTGTGCAGCCGCATGCCCAGCCCTCCTCTTGGCAGGAGGACACGCAAGAGGAAGGAAAGGCACATGAGAGCCACGTATCTTCTCCCGAGAGCCCTGTGCAGCCGCATGCCCTGCCCTCCTCTTAGCAGGAGGACACACACAAGGAGGGGAAGACACGTGATAGCCATGTGTCTTCTCATGAGAGTCCTGTGCAGCCGCATGCCCTGCCCTCGTCTCAACACATGAGAGTCCTGTGCAGCCCCATGCCCTGCCCCCCTATTAGCAGGAGGACACGGAAGACACGTGGCTGCCTCGCCTGTTGTTTAGGCATAAGAATGCAGTGGCCTCCCCTTCGTCCCTCATAGGGTGATGGACACGGCTCAGCTGAATGCGCCACACCTCTCACGGCAACGGAGTGGGTGGCGGAGGCACTCCCTCTCTGATCCCAGCCCTCCCCTCCTCCCTTCCTTCCGAGGCGCAACCTTTATTAAGACGTGCCAAGAGCTTTTGTCGTGACAACGGGCGGGGCAGGAGATTGTGAGCCTGTTTTCGGCCTGCGTTGTGTGTTTTTCCTTAGTTCTCTCCCCGTTCCGTCTTGAGCGGATCTCGTTTCCGTTGTCGTCTCCCGTTGCCTCCCGGGATCGTCGGGAAGTCTCTTTCACTGTCTCGTCCATCCCTAATCTTCTTTAATTTTTCCTCCCTTGTGTTCAAGCTTTTTTTTTTATTTAAAAAAAAACAATTTAATAACATGGGAAGTTGTATGTATTCAGTGTGTGTGTGTAAATAGTAAACTGGAAAAAAAAGATGCTTTTCCTCCCCATCCTCAGGAGAGTATTTCCGAGTGCGGGAGATGTTCCTTGTCTCCATTCTCTCAGTTTGAGGTGAGAACACAACCCTACTCGACCAAGTCAGTGTCCGACTCCAATCCCGAAAGCGCAGTGTATACATCTCTCCTTTTTTAACATTTGTGTTTGGATTTTTCGTTCCCCTTTTTCCCCCTTTTGTTGTCCATTGTTCATGCTGTGAATTCTTTTGTTTCGGTTCAGCCTGCCATGGAAGGGGTAGAGGTGAGAATTTTTTCAGCGGAGGTACCAGGAAGTTGTCCGTTTCCTTTGTTTTTTCCCTCGTTTTTCAGTTTTTTTCCTCTCGTTTTCGTATCTCTTGGTTGGTTCGTCACCAGGAAGTTGTCGGTTTCCTTTGTCCCCCCCCCTTTTTTTCAGTTTTTCCTCTCGTTTTCGTATGTCTTGGTTGGTTTTTCACCAGGAAGTTGTCCGTTTGTTTTTCCCCTCGTTTTTCCTTCCCCCCCCCGTTTTTTTCCCGTTTTTCTCTTTGTTTTTCCCCTCGTTTTCGTATCTCTTGGTTGGTTCTTCACTAGGAAATTGTCCGTTTCCTTTGTTTCCCCCCCCCCCCAGTATTTCAGTTTTTTTCCTCCTGTTTTTGTGCCTCTTGGTTTGTTCTTCACCAGGAAGTTGTCTGTTTCCTTTGTTTTTCCCCCCGTTTTTCAGTTTTTTCCTCCTGTTTTCGTATCTCTTGGTTGGTTCTTTCCTTCTGCTATGGTCTGTTTAGCCGTACCTATTCGTTCTGTATTGGGCAGAATGCGTTGTGCATTCTTTTGAGTGCAGTGCCGTGACTTGTCTTTAATGTCTATATATATATATTTCTTTGTTCATTTTTGTCTGTGGCAGAGTGGTATGAGTCTTATTACACTTACTGTGACCCGTCAAGGACTTCTTTTCAAGCATGACCTTTATTTTCTTAATTGCAATTAAATAGGGCGTTCTGGGTGCTGTTTTCCATTTTTCACCTCTACGTGTGTTGACTCGAAAATGTTTCAATTGGCGAATGCCAGAAAGGGACTGGTTGAAAAGCAAACCCAGAGCTCCGCCCCCGTACACATGTTTTCAGTCCCCAAAGTCAAGCCGGCCTCCATATTTTAAATTTTTGGGTGCTGTTCCATTATCTGGGCGGAGGCCACAAGGGGGCAATAGAGAGAGAGAAAGATACCGTATTTTCTGGTGTATAATAATAATGTATATAAATAAATATGTCATGTTCGTTTGTGGGATTAACAGAACTCAAAAACCACTGGACGAATTGACACCAAATTTGGACACAAGACACCTAACAACCCAATGTATGTCCTTCACTCAAAAAAAATGATTTTGTCATTTGGGAGTTGTAGTTGCTGGGATTTGTAGTTCACCTATAATTAAAGAACATTCTGAACTCCACCAATGATGGAATTGAACCAATCTTAGGACACAGAACTCCCATGATCAACAGAAAATACTAGAAGGGTTTGGTGGGCATTGACTTTGAGTTTGGGATTTGTAGTTCACCTCCATCCAGAGAACACTGTGGTCTCAAACAATGATGGATCTGGACCAAACTCTACACGAATACTCAATGTGCCCAAGTGTAAACACTGGCAGAGTTTGGGGAAATTAAAGCTTTGCATTTGGGAGTTGTAGTTGCTGAGATTTATAGTTCACCTACAATCAAAGAGTCCCTTGAACCCCACCAACGATAGAATTGGTCCAAACTTCCAACACAGAACCCCCATGACCAACAGAATGTACTGGAGGGATTTGGGATGAATTTACAGTGATTTAGGGGAGATTTAGTTCACCTTCCACCTTTCTGATGGGTCTTCGGCGACCCCTCTGGCACCCCCTCGCGACCCCCCCAGGGGTCCCGACCCCCAGGTTGAGAAACGCTGTCTTAAATATTTTCACTCATTCTAGAGCAGTGATTTAGGGGAGATGTAGTTCACCTTCCACCTTTCTGATGGGTCTTTGGTGACCCCTCTGACACCCCCTCGTGACCCCCCCGGGGGTCCCGACCCCCAGGTTGAGAAACGCTGAGATAAGGAGTCTGTTGTAAGCGGTCGACCGTGATTTAGGGGAGATGTCGTTCACCTTCCACCTTTCTGATGGGTCTTTGGTGACCCCTCTGACACCCCCTCGTGACCCCCCTCGGGGGTCCCGACCCCCAGGTTGAGAAACGCTGAGATAAGGAGTCTGTTGTAAGCGGTCGACCGTGATTTAGGGGAGATGTCGTTCACCTTCCACCTTTCTGATGGGTCTTTGGTGACCCCTCTGACACCCCCTCGTGACCCCCCCGGGGGTCCCGACCCCCAGGTTGAGAAACACTGAGATAAGGAGTCTGTTGGAAGCGGTCGACCATGCATGCACGTTGCAAGCGGCTGCTTCTGACTGCAGATGAGAACGTCCATGCTACTGTTTTTGGGGACCCCTTACAAGGAGTTTTGCTCCTCCAACCCGCTCGTCACCCCGTAAAATGGACTCTCCATCTCTCTCTCTAGCACCCCCTTGTGGCCTCCGCCCAGATAATGGAACAGTACCATTTTTTTGTCCAGGAAATACCGTTTTGGACCGAATGTCCAGTATTTGTGCATGCACATTTTCCTCCCCAACTCTTGGTGGCATTTGGCACCACCAGACATTGAAAGCTACGCAGATGTTTAGCAGAAGAATTGCCGTAGACGAGAATCCAAGTGAGGCAAAGCTGTCTTATGCTGGCACAGGCATGGGCAGAGTTCGACCCTTGTTGTCCGGGGCATCCAGGCGTGGGCTTCAGCTGACCCCTGATTCAATGTCCACCATTCAAAACAAACGTTTTCTGGGTCCATGCACAAATTGAGCCAGGCCGCTTCCTCTGCATCTTGTCTATTTGCAATCCAGACACATCAGAGAGGCGATTGAGAGGGCTCAGAAAGAGAGAGAAGCAACATGGCTTCCAATTTATACATATGGCTTACATATATAGATTAACACTTCCTCCAGGTTTTTTGGACTCCAACTCCCACAGTTGGGGTAATTGAAGTCCAAAACACCCGGCGGGCCGAAGTTGGCTCATGCCTGTCCCAGCCGGTCAGATCTTAACGCCGGATCTCTACCCGGAAGGCACTTGAAACCATTTTGTACGAGTCTGGTTTTCGAAACAGTTGAGAGTCCTTCCCTTTGGACTTCCACAAACTCCCTCGGCCGTTGTTGTCATTCCATTAAAATGACAGATCGTAATCTGCAACGAGAAAAGAGTTTCCTACGCGACCCCCGGGTAAGTCGCTGCGGTTAACGCCTTGTTTTGGTTTGCCAGCCAGGCTCCCAGGTCTAGACAGAGGAGGAGGGCAGGCCGTCCCCACGTTACAAACAAGAGAGGGTCTGTGGGTTTGTGCTCAAGTTGAATTTGTATGTAAGTCGGAACAGGGGTATTCTTATTTATTATTTCTTTACGACATTTATATGGCGGCTTTCTCACCCCGAAGGGAAGTCTTTAAGTGTAACTTCAGCCATATATATTAGGGGTGTGCACAAGTAAAAAAAATGTCTTAACGAAAATCACACAACCCCCATTTTGTTACATTAAATCGTGAAGGGTCCATGTCTGATCTATAATGGAGTTCCAAAAAAATTATTACTTTTTCGTTACGTTGTCCGCCCATTCTCACCAATGGGGACATTAATGGGGCTGCCCCGCCCTCAGTTTTCAGACTGTTGAGTTGAAACTTGCCACAATTGTATTATACACTTACCCCTATTAGTCCTTCAAGTTTCAGAACGTTTTGCTCACCCACTGATTTTTAGGATATTTTTGAAGGTTTTACGAACAACATTAAAAAAAACTACACGAGCTATCCCCTCGAATTTCTCTCTAATGACACAACATAACCTGCAATTTTGCACAATTCTAATCTATATAAATAAAAATGTAATATTAGTTTGTGGGAGAAWGAGGAAAAGAAGGAAAGAAAGAAAGGTAGAGAGAGAAAGGTAGAGAAAGAAGGAAGGAGAGAAMGAAATAACAAAGTGAAAGGGAAGGAAGGAGAGAAGGAATGAAAGAGAGAAAAAGGGAGGGAAGGAAGGAAGGACAGAAAGAAAGGTAGAGAAGGAAGGAAGGAGAGAAGGAAATAACAAAATGAAAGAGGGAAGGAAGGAGAGAAAGAAAGGTAGAGAATGAAGGAAGGAGAGAAGGAAATAACGTGAAAGAGGGAAGGAAGGAGAGAAGGAAGGAAAGAGAGAAAGAGGGAGGGAGGGAAGAAAGAAAGGTAGAGAAGGAAGGAAGGAGAGAAGGAAATAAAAAAGTGAAAGAGGAAAGGAAGGAGAGAAGGAGGGAGAGAAAGAGGGAAAGAAGGAGAGAAGGAAAGAAAGAAAGAAAGAAAGAAAGAAAGAAAGAAAGAAAGAAAGAAAGGTAGAGAAAGAAGGAAGAAGAGAAGGAAATAAAAAGGTGAAAGAGGGAAGGAAGGAGAGAAGGAATGAAAGAGAGAAAGAGGAAGGAAGGATGGAACCAAAGAGCAAAGGAAGTGAGAAAAGAAACAGGTAGTGAAGGAAGAAAGAAGAAGGGAAATAAAAAGAGGGAAGGAAGGAAGGAGAGAAAGAAGGAGCGAAAGAGGGAGGGAAGGTTGGCCACAGCAATGTGTGGCGGGTACAGCTAGTATGTATACACACACACACATTATGTATGTATTAGCTTTAGATTGCATAGGGAAGAGTGAGCACCCCTTTGCTGTCTCTGCCCGTTTAGAAGATTTCCCCCTTTTTCTGTCTCTGGATAATTTGCAAAAATTGGCTTGTTGTTGAGACAAGGATTGGAGATAAGGTTAATTGGAGACCCCCTTCCCCCCCATGAGAATAATATCTCTTCCAGGAGTGAATTTCCCTTCCTTCCGATGCGGAGATTCTTCCCGCTTCCTGTCGTCTCAGCCCCCTTGTTCTTAACTACAAGTCGCTTGTTTGTAACTCGGGGACTGCCTGCACTGCGTTCCATGTAGGGTCTGTGGCGCGTCGCCTTCGAGTACGAGCGTACCAGAAGCCAAGTGGCGGCTTGCGAGTGTTTCTGTTCTGTCTGCAGGAAATGAAGATCTGCTCGGCCATTATCAACCTCTTCCACCTGATCCCGGCCGCGCCTCAGACGCTCGTGAAGCCCTTGCTGGAGGTGGTCATGAAGACCGAGCGGGCCATGCTCATCGAGGTAATTTCCCCTCTAATGACTTCACTTCTTCCATTTGTAACGTTTGCTTTAATTGTCTTTTGGAATGGTTTCCGCTCCCCGGTCGGTGCAAAGCGTTTGATCCCAAGCGTTGATCTGCGGGCGCCGTTGTTTGCACCGAGTTCCATTCCCTGCAAACCGTTTGGCGTGAAAGGGACGTCAGGTGAGATGGTGGATATCTACCTGGGCATTCCTTCATTTATTTATTAACGTGTCAGGAGCAACCAGACATTTGTATTACATTTTTAACAAAAACAAACAAACAAACAGACAAAACACAGAATTTGCAAACTTGGTATTCTATTAAATGTCCTTTGACCAGTCCCTGGCCCCTTGGAGTGCCTCTGGTGTTGCCGCAAGAAGGTCCTCCCTTGTGCATCATGTGGAAGAAGGGCTCAGGGTGCATTGCAGCAGGGGGTCAGTGGTTTGCTCTTCTCCACACTCGCATGTCGTGGACTCCACTTTGTGGCCCCATTTCTCAAGATTGGCTCTGCATCTCGTGGTGCCAGAGTGCAGTCTGTTCAGCGCCTTCCAAGTCTTCTCTGTGCCCAGGAGGGAGTCTCTCATTTCGTATCAGCCATTGATTGAGGTGCTGGGTTTGAGCCTGCCACTTTTGGACTCTCGCTTGCTGAGGTGTTCCAGCAGAGTGATCTTGCCTGCTGTGGACTCATCTTGTGTTTCTAATAATAATAATAATAATAATAATAATAACAACAATAACAACAACAACAACAACAACAATAATAATAAACAGCCAGCAGAGTGATCTTGTCTGCTGTGCACTCATCTTGTGTTTATAATAATAATAATAATAATAAAAATATATCATACATGTCTATCTATTCATAATAATAATAATAATAATAATAATAATAATAATAATAATAATAATAATAATAAACAGCCAGCAGAGTGATCTTGTCTGCTATGGACTCATCTTGTGTTTATAATAATAATAATAATAATAATAATAATAATAATAATAATAATAATAATCTGTACGCATTATTTGCCGATACATCACACAGTCCTAGACACTTGGGAAGTGTCCAACGTGTGATCCAATTCAACAGCCAGAAGAGTGTCTGCTGTGGACTCATCTTCTTGTGTCTCAAATAATAATAATAATAATAATAATAATAATAATAATAATAATAATAATAATAGTTTTTCTTTGTGGTTTGTTTCCTCAGGCCGGCAGTCCCTTCCGAGAGCCGTTAATCAAGTTTCTGACGCGGCACCCTTCTCAGACGGTGGAGCTGTTTATGATGGAAGCCACCTTGAATGATCCCCAGTGGAGCCGAATGTTTATGGTAACCTGCTTTGCGTATCTAGCTATTCATCAAAGGAGTGGTACAGATGCAGCCACACTCTCATTGGCTGAAGCAGGGTCAGAATAGCGTTGAACCGCAGGGTGGGGTCCTCCATCTCTTCTCAAGCACATCCTTCTCTCTTCTGACCTTGAGACACTACCGACCATCACCTTGGACCTTGGTGCCTGCCTGGCTAACCAAGTCTGCTGCTGTTGCAACCCAGAGCAGGAAACGAGATCCTAAGATAACAATCCACCACACTTGACTGTGGGAAAAACAGTTCCCTTTTTATTGATGAAAAATGGTTACAAAACAGAGAAAAATAGTCAAAAAGCCACAGTAAAAATCAGCAATCACAAATATCCCTGAATTAGATCAAAAACCAAAAGCAACACTGTAAAATCCTGGAACCTGTTAGCAAATCACTAACCGTACTTGGAGCACTAGAAGCCTCTTGGGATGTAGGCCACGGGAAATGGGAAATCTGCCAAGGTAATGCCTCAGTCTAAACGATGCCTGATCTAAAGAGTTAACCCGGCGAGAGGCACTTAAAGCCGAGCAAACTGTTTCGTGACACGCCTCCAGGCTTTGAAGCCCTTGTTTCTCTTTTAATCTGCTTGACCTTCGCAGACTCTGCAATTCACTCCTGTTTCTCCAAATCTGTCCTCTTCTATCCTCATTACGGATCACTGCTTGACCCTGAAACATTCTCAGGAGAATGTGCGCTTTCACTTTCCAACCCTTCCAAGCCTGCAGGAGTTTCTTCTACACTGACTTCAGAATCAACATTTTCATTAGCATCAGGAGCATCAGAAAATACATTTTCAGTAGCATCAGGAAATACAATCAGAGAAGCAGGTTCAGGTTCACACCCAGGCTGAACCCCAACAGCTGCTGTCTCTTCACTCTGCATCACATTATTTATTATTTATTTACAGTATTGATATTCTGCCCTTCTCCTCACCTTGCAGGGGACTCAGGGTGGATCACAACGTACACATACTTGGCAAACATTCAATGCCATAGACACACAACACATAGAGACAGACACACAGAGGCCATTTAACATCCCAATGTTCGGGCCACCAGGGAGCTGTTGCTTCACCGTCCGTTTGTGACACTGATGAAGTACTTTCCGCATTCCCCGCATGCTTTTGCTGGAGAAACATAACAACAACAGGACTCCGGATGATGTGTGAGCAAGTCTTGCTTGTGCCCTGGTCTCAAAGAATCAGGAGATATACGGTTGAGATGTCCCCTGCCTCCTTCAGTAGAGAAAAGAGCCTCAGGTGTGCTGTTGGTCAGGCAGGGAGCTCTGAAAAAACCATTGTGAGTACAATTGAGTCATAGATAGAAATTGAGTTATTAAGAAAAGCAATTGAGCTATTGAGTTATAGATAGATATAGAGATAAAGAGAAGCTCATTGAGTTATAGAGAGTTATAAGAGATATATTAAGATATTGAGATAGTAATTGGGTTATTGAGAAATAGAGAGAAATGGCTATTGAGTACTACTGAGATATTGAGATAGTAATTGAGAAATTGATTTATTAAGAAATAGAGAGAAATAGCTATTGAGTACTATTGAGCATTACTTCACCTCCAAAACTGACCTTGAGCTTAGGTAGGGAAAGGCCTGTTCTTTCTAACAGTAGCACCTTAGGGTTAAGGTGAAATATCTCAGGATTTTTTCCACCATTTGGAGAAAGGTTACCTCAGAAATTGAAGAAAAAGGGAAAGAAAGAACATCTCTATGGTTTCCCAAATTGTTGTAACTTTGTCAAGTTGTGCCAAGTCTGCCAAGGACTTTGGAAATAAACATTTTGTTGATGTTCATATCTTGACTGGCATCGGTTGCTGAAAGTATTGCGTTATTGCATCAAAGAAAGACCCCAGCAGTTCACCCAGATAAAGAGAGAAGCACATCTTAGTTCTAACGTTATAGCGTCTGGGTGTGACGGCACAATAACAACAACAACAACAACAACAACAACAACAACAACAACAACAACAGGACTCTGGATGATGTGTGAGCAAGTCTTGCGTGTGCCCTGGTCTCAAAGTATCAGGATATACTTGAACACCAAACCAGCGTAAGGGGCTGTAGATGCCATTCCTTGGCTGTCATTGTGGCAGCCGTTAGGAGAAAATAAAATAATAAAGGGAAATCATAATAATTGAGAATAAAATAGAAGGTTCATGTTCCTACCTGATCCTGAAAAGACAATTTCTAATGAGTAGATTTGCAAGCATGAGAAACCTACAGATGACATTAATTGACACTGGACTATGGGTCAGTTTGCTCTAGCCGATGTTTACATAGATATGAAGTCAACAAGAGAAGTTTGGCAGGACAAAGAAATCAATAGTATCGATCCAAGACTTGGAACATCTAAAGCAGTGGTTCTCAACCTTCCTAATGTCGTGACCCCTTAATACAGTTCCTCATGTTGTGGTGACCCCCAACCATAACATTATTTTCGTTGCTACTTCACAACTGTAATTTTGCTACTGTTATGAAGCATAATGCAAATATCTAATATGCAGGATGTATTTTCATTCACTGGACCAAATTTGGCAAAAATACCCGATACACCCAAATTTGAACACTGGTGGCGTTGAGTGGAGGATTGATTTTGTCATTTGGGAGTTGTAGTTGCTGGGATTTATAGTTCACCTACAATCAAAGAGCATTCTGAACTCCACCAAGGATGGAATTGAACCAAACTTGGCACACAGAACTCCCATGACCAACAGAAAATACTGGAAAGGTTTGATGGGCATTGACCTTGAGTTTTGGAGTTGTAGTTCACCTACATCCCGAGAGTACTGTGGACTCAAACAATAATGGATCTGGACCAAATTTGGCATGACAATCAATATGCCCAAATGTGAACTCTGCTGGCGTTTGGGGGAAATAGACCTTGACATTGGGAGTTGTAGTTACTGGGATTTATAGTTCACCTACAAACAAAGAACATTCTGAACTCCATCAACTATAGAATTGGGCCAAACTTCCCACACAGAACCCCCATAACCAACAGAAAATACTGTGTATTTGCGACCCCTCTGACACCCCCTGGCAACCCCTCCAGGGGTCCTGACCCCCAGGTTGAGAAACGCTGATCTAAAGTCATATGGTGAAAGAGCGCCATCCTCTGACCATTTAATGTAAATAGCAGGCAATTTCAGAAGAAGTAAATTCCTTCATGGTTTCCATACTATGAAATAAGTTATAATGAAATAATTAAGGTTGGATTGATTAGAGGAGATTGCCTTGATCAAATCTTATGTTATAAGCATATAAAAGTTATAATTCAATTAGAGATTTAAGGAATTGAATATATACGTGTCATCTTAGGGTAACGGGCGAAGGTCGGGATAAGTTACATAACCGAGCAGATGTTTGGGTCCACAATGTAGCTGCCAAGACCTGATAAAGATGTTTTTGGAAACTATATATGGAAACACCTGCTAATGATTGTATTGTGTAAATGTCAGACTCTTTATGTGCATGTGTGGAAAGAGTGATATTCAGTTACAAAAGACAGAAGCGATTCAGACCTCGGGTGTGACAGTCATTTGAGCGGTTCACCCTATACTCTTCAGAGATAGTAATAAAGCCTTGGGAATCGGACAAGCTGTCTCAGTCCTCTTCCTTCTCCAAAAGCACTCTAATGATCTCGGGTAACATATATTCCGCAACAATAACAGTTGTTGTTGTTGTTGTTTTTCCCAACCAGAGTTTTTTGAAACATAAAGATGCGAAACCTCTGCGTGACGTCCTGGCCGCCAACCCCAACCGCTTCATCACGCTGTTGCTGCCCGGCGGGACTCAAGCGGCCGTCCGGCCGGGCTCTCCCAGCACCAGCACCATGCGGCTCGACCTCCAGTTTCAGGCCATCAAGGTAGGACTGACCTTCTATTAATTTATGGGTCTGAAGGAAAGAGCAACCGACGAGTAGCTTCCAAACCCTCCAGAACCAGTCTCTAAAATACGGCATTCGGAAATTTGGATGGCAGAGAGGAACTTGGCTTCCCAAAGTCTTCATTGGGACAATGCTGCCCCAACTCCAGGCTTATTTATTTGTCGTGTCAGAGCAACCAGTCCATTGTATTACATTTCTAACAGAACAAAGCAAACAAAGAGAAAAATACACAACTTGTGAGTTTGGTAGTTGATTAGATGTCCTTTGACCAGTCTCTGGCCCCTTGGAGTGCTTCCGGTGTTGCTGCAAGAAGGTCCTCCCTTGTGCATCATGTGGCAGGGCTCAGGGTGCATTGCAGCAGGTGGTCAGGGGTTGGCTCTTCTGCACACTTGCATGTCGAGGATTCCCTTTGTGGCCCCATTTCCTAAGGTTTGCTCTGCATCTCGTGGGGCCAGAGCGCAGTCTGTTCAGTGCCTTCCAAGTCACCCCGTCTTCTGTGTGCCCAGGGGGGAGTCTCTCATTTGGTATCAGCCATTGGTTGAGGTTCTGGGTTTGAGCCTGCCACTTTTGGACTCTCGCTTGCTGAGGTGTTCCAGCGAGTGTCTCTGTAGATCTTCGAAAACTATTTCTAGATTTAAGTCGTTGACGTGCTGGCTGATACCCAAACAGGGGATGAGCTGGAGATGTCTCTGCCTTGGTCCTTTCACTATTGGCTGCTACTTCCCGGCGGATGTCAGGTGGTGCAATACCGGCTAAGCAGTGTAACGTCTTGAGTGGTGTAGGGCGCAGACACCCTGTGATGATGCGGCATGTCTCATTGAGAGCCACATCCACTGTTTTAGCGTGGTGAGATGTGTTCCACACTGAGCATGCGTACTCAGCAGCAGAGTAGCACAGCGCAAGGGCAGATGTCTTCACTGTGTCTGGTTGTGATCCCCAGGTTGTGCCAGTCAGCTTTCGTATGATATTGTTTCTAGCACCCACTTTTTGCTTGATGTTCAGGCAGTGCTTCTTGTAGGTCAGAGCACGGTCCAGAGTGACTCCTCCCAGGTACTTGGGTGGCTGCAAGGCTCCAGTGGGTTTCCTTCCCAGGTGAACTTCAGAGCTCGGGATGCTTGTCTATTCTTGAGATGAACAGGCTGTTTATGAACAACTTCAGCCTGAAGTTGTTCATAAACAGCCTGTTCATCCTAGATGTGAAAAGTTCTCTTACGTGTGTAAACAAGGTTGCTTTGTCACCTCCCTGTCTTGCTGTAATTACCCCTCATGACCCCTCATTTGTTTTTATTTGTTGTAAGCTGCCCCGAGTCCCTTTGGGACAGGGAGGCGGGGTATAAATAAATATGATGAGGAGGATGAGGATGAGGCTGATGAAGAGCCTTTGTTTTGTTCTGGCAGATCATCAGCATCATCGTGAAGAACGACGAGTGCTGGCTGGCCAACCAGCACTCTCTGGTGAGCCAGCTGCGGCGCGTCTGGGTCAGCGAGGCCTTCCAGGAGCGGCACCGGAAGGAAAACATGGCCGCCACCAACTGGAAGGAGCCCAAACTCCTGGCCTACTGCCTCTTGAATTACTGCAAGTACGTCAATCCTAATCGTAGTAATACCATTATATATTATACGAGGGGTATTTTTTAAATAAGGTCCGTTTGAACATAAGTACACAACGAAAGTTGATTTCAAAAAAGTAAATTTATTTTCAGAAAGTACCTACTTCACTCTATTTTTCGACATAGTTGCCAAGTTTGTTCAAACACTTATCATACCTCTGAACCAATTTTAAAATGCCCTCTTCATAAAAACCTGCCGCCACCAAAAGCCACCAAATCGTCTGTAATCAAAGAAGGGTGACCGGAGCAGTCATCATCATGGACGTTGTCACGGCCATCTTTGAATTGTTGTACCCACTTACGCACTTTGCTTTCACTCATAACAGTATACCGTACACTTCACAAATCTGTCAATGAATTTCTGCAGCAGGCAGGTCCCTTGCGGACAAAAACCGTATCACATGCGGAGGGTGAGTTGAGAGTCTTAAACATGTTTAAAGCACAGAACAGAACCGTACAGGTGAGCTACAGAGCGGAAACTGAGCACAGTTGTTCCCGAGGCATGCCGGTACACAACACATGCGCTCGTTGCGGTATGCGCGCGAACTACTAGTGTCTACAACAAAACGGACCTTACTTAAAAAATACCCCTCATATATTAATATTTTATTATATATTATATATTATATATTAATATTATTATAATAGTAATAGCCAAGTATGGATCATCGATGTTGCAATCCCAGGCGACACCAGAATGGACGAGAAGCAACTAGAAAAGCTGGCACAAAACGGGGATTTTAAGATTGAGCTAGAAAGACTGGCGTAAAAGCCAGTCAAGGGGGTCCCAGTGGTGATCGGCACATGGGTCACACACAAAGCACACATACACAGAGTGGGCCACAGCAACACTTAGCAGGGGATGGCTAGTATATAAATAAAAATGCATTGTTTGTTTGTGGGATTAGCATAACTCAAAAACCACTGTGGGAATTGACACCAGATTTGGACAGAAGACACCTCTCAGGCCAACCAGTGACCATCCCTCATCAAAACACTGAAAAGCACAGCAAAAGGGACTTAAAAAGCCAAAAAACGAAAATACATTACAACACATGCACAAAACCGCATATATTATACATATACACATATACACAAATATATACATGCATATATACATATAACACATATGTGTATAACACACACATATACACATAATGTAAATATACAAAACATACACCGACTGGGCCACAGCAACGCGGAAGAGACTTAAAAAGCCAAAAAACAAAAATTACATTACAATACATGCGCAAAACCACATATATATATACACAAACACACATACATACACATATACACACATATATACACATACTGGGCCACAACAACGTGTGGCAGGGGAAGGATAGTCTATATAAATAAAAATGTAATGTTTGTGGGATTAACATAACTCAAAAACCACTGGGTGAATTGACACCAAATTTGGACAAAAGACAACAGTCAGGCCGACGAGTGACCATCACTCATAAAAACACCGAAAAACATAGCACAAGGGACTTAAACAGCCAAAAAATTTTTAAAAATACATTACAACGCATGCACAAAACCATGTCAGAGATTGATGATACCCAGCGGAAGGAATGCTAGATCAAGCAGACACTGAGTTGCAAAATGAGGACTTTGCAGGCTTTGAGTTACAAAAGAAACTAAGTTTACTAAGTACATACATCAGACACGTCTTTCTACAGCGAGCTACAATTCAGGAAGAACAACAAAGAACTAGTCAAAACCGGAAGCCTCTTCTTCACACCTGCTTATCTTCTCTTGCTGAGACTGGCAACTCCCTTCTGTTCTCAGCGAGAACAAACCTTATCTTACTTTTCTCAAGTTCACTTAATCACAGCCTCAAAGTATAAACATTTCTGCATGGCATTTTCAATTCACAGTGGCATCCATCTTTGCAATACATAGAAGCACATTGAAAAACACAGACATAACTAAATTAATCCTGACAAACCACACACACACACAAACACACATATACACATATACACAAATATATACACACACATATACACACGCATTTACACACAAAGCACATATACACAGACTCGGCCACAGCAATGTGTGACAGGGAACGGCTAGTAGTAGTAGTAGTACTACTAGTAGTAATATTATTCTTCTCAACCTCCTTCTCAACCTCCAAACACACATATACACACATATACACACATATACACACATATATACACACACAAAGCACATATACACAAACTGGGCCACAGCAATGTGTGGCAGGGAACGGCTAGTAGTAGTAGTAGTAGTAGTAGTAGTAGTATTCTTCTCAACCTCCTTCTCAACCTCCAAACACACATATATACACATATACACAAATATATACACACACATTCACACACAAAGCACATATACACAAACTGGGCCACAGCAATGTGTGGCAGGGAACGGCTAGTAGTAGTAGTAGTAGTAGTAGTAGTAGTATTCTTCTCAACCTCCTTCTCAACCTCCAAACACACATATATACACATATACACAAATATATACACACACATTCACACACAAAGCACATATACACAAACTGGGCCACAGCAATGTGTGGCAGGGAACGGCTAGTAGTAGTAGTAGTAGTAATATTATTCTTCTCAACCTCCTTCTCAACCTCCAAACACACATATATACACATATACACAAATATATACACACACAAAGCACATATACACAGACTGGGCCACAGCAATGCATGACTGGGGAACGGCTAGTAGTAGTAGTAATAGTAGTAGTAGTAATATTATTATTTATTATTTAAAACTTTTATATCCCGATCTTCTCAACCTCCAAACACACACATATACACATATACACAAATATATACACACACAAAGCACCTATACACGGACTAGGCCACAGCAAATGTGTGGCAGGGAATGGCTAGTAGTAGTAGTAGTAGTAATGTTATTATTTATTATTTAAAACTTTTATATCCCGGTCTTCTCAACCTCCGTAGAGGGACTCAGACCGGTAATAATAATAATAATAATAATAATAATAATTATTATTATTATTATTGTATCAGGAGTAACTTGCGAAACGGCATAATAATAATAATAATAATAATAATAATAATAATAATAATAATTGTCGTGTCAGGAGCGACTTGAGAAACCGCATAATAATAATAATAATAATAATAATAATAATAATAATTTTTGTCGTGTCAGGAGCGACTTGAGAAACTGCATAATAATGATGATAATAATAATAATAATAATATTAATTTTTGTCATGTCAGGAACGACTTGGGAAACAGCATAATAATGATGATAATAATAATAATAATAATTTTTGTCGTGTCAGGAGCAACTTGAGAAACTGCATAATAATAATAATAATAATAATAATAATAATAATAATAATAATTTTTGTCGTGTCAGGAGTGACTTGAGAAACTGGATAATAATAATAATAATAATAATAATAATAATAATTTTTGTCGTGTCAGGAGCAACTTGAGAAACTGCATAATAATAATAATAATAATAATAATAATAATAATAATAATAATAATGTTTGTCGTGTCAGGAGCGACTTGAGAAATGGCAAATAATAATAATAATAATAATAATAATAATAATTTTTGTCATGTCAGGAGCAACTTGAGAAACTGCATAATAATAGTAACAACAATAATAATAATGTTTGTCGTGTCAGGAGCGACTTGAGAAATGGCAAAATAATAATAATAATAATAATAATAATAATAATAATAATAATAATAATAATAATTTTTGTCATGTCAGGAGCAACTTGAGAAACTGCATAATAATAGTAACAACAATAATAATAATGTTTGTCGTGTCAGGAGCAACTTGAGAAACTGCATAATAATAATAATAATAATAATAATAATAATAATAATAAATTTTTGTCGTGTCAGGAGCAACTTGAGAAACTGCATAATAATAATAATAATAATAATAATAATAATAATAATAATAATAATTTTTGTCGTGTCAGGAGCAACTTGAGAAACTGCATAATAATAATAATAATAATAATAATAATAATAATAATAATAATGTTTGTCGTGTCAGGAGCGACTTGAGAAATGGCAAAATAATAATAATAATAATAATAATAATAATAATAATAATAATGTTTGTCGTGTCAGGAGCGACTTGAGAAATGGCAAAATAATAATAATAATAATAATAATAATAATAATAATAATAATAATAATTTTTGTCATGTCAGGAGCAACTTGAGAAACTGCATAATAATAGTAACAACAATAATAATAATGTTTGTCGTGTCAGGAGCAACTTGAGAAACTGCATAATAATAATAATAATAATAATAATAATAATAATAATAATAATAATGTTTGTCGTGTCAGGAGCGACTTGAGAAATGGCAAAATAATAATAATAATAATAATAATAATAATAATAATAATAATAATAATTTTTGTCATGTCAGGAGCAACTTGAGAAACTGCATAATAATAGTAACAACAATAATAATAATGTTTGTCGTGTCAGGAGCAACTTGAGAAACTGCATAATAATAATAATAATAATAATAATAATAATAATAATAATAATGTTTGTCGTGTCAGGAGCGACTTGAGAAATGGCAAAATAATAATAATAATAATAATAATAATAATAATAATAATTTTTGTCATGTCAGGAGCAACTTGAGAAACTGCATAATAATAGTAACAACAATAATAATAATGTTTGTCGTGTCAGGAGCAACTTGAGAAACTGCATAATAATAATAATAATAATAATAATAATAATAATAATAATAATAATAATAATGTTTGTCGTGTCAGGAGCGACTTGAGAAATGGCAAAATAATAATAATAATAATAATAATAATAATAATAATAATAATAATAATTTTTGTCATGTCAGGAGCAACTTGAGAAACTGCATAATAATAGTAACAACAATAATAATAATGTTTGTCGTGTCAGGAGCAACTTGAGAAACTGCATAATAATAATAATAATAATAATAATAATAATAATAATAATAATTTTTGTCGTGTCAGGAGCAACTTGAGAAACTGCATAATAATAATAATAATAATAATAATAATAATAATAATAATAATGTTTGTCGTGTCAGGAGCGACTTGAGAAATGGCAAAATAATAATAATAATAATAATAATAATAATAATAATAATAATTTTTGTCATGTCAGGAGCAACTTGAGAAACTGCATAATAATAGTAACAACAATAATAATAATGTTTGTCGTGTCAGGAGCAACTTGAGAAACTGCATAATAATAATAATAATAATAATAATAATAATAATAATAATAATTTTTGTCGTGTCAGGAGCAACTTGAGAAATGGCATAATAATAATAATAATAATAATAATAATAATAATAATAATAATAATAATTTTTGTCATGTCAGGAGCAACTTGAGAAACTGCATAATAATAGTAACAACAATAATAATAATGTTTGTCGTGTCAGGAGCAACTTGAGAAACTGCATAATAATAATAATAATAATAATAATAATAATAATAATAATAATTTTTGTCATGTCAGGAGCAACTTGAGAAACTGCATAATAATAGTAACAATAATAATAATAATAATTGGACGGAGGTTATCCCTCTCTTCCCGTTTCCTTTTCGCAGGAGGAATTACGGGGACATTGAGCTTCTCTTCCAGCTCCTGCGGGCCTTCACGGGGCGCTTCCTGTGCAACATGACCTTCCTGAAGGAGTACATGGAGGAGGAGATCCCCAAGAACTACACCATCGCCCAGAAGCGGGCCCTCTTCTTCCGCTTCGTCGACTTTGCCGACCCCAACTTCGGAGACGAGCTGAAGGCCAAGGTAAACGGGGGTCCACGGAGTGGGGTTTGGATGCTCGTTTCCTCGGGCCACAAAAGGGACTCGCTTCCAAGGTCAACGGGAGGCCAATCATTGGCGGAGTACGTTTTCATGCTCATGTGTTGTTGTCTTTCCGACCGGCAGGTCCTGCAACACATCCTGAACCCGGCTTTCTTGCACAGCTTTGAGAAAGGGGAAGGGGAGCAGCTGCTGGGCCCCCCCAACCCGGAAGGAGACAACCCTGAAAGCATCACCAGTGTCTTCATCACCAAGGTTGGGAATGGGGTCACTTGGTTGGCACTAGACCACAACGTTCCATGCTTTCTCCAGCACGCATCACAAAAACAACACACCCCTCCCTCCACACTCGCACCACCTCTCTCTTCCGCAGAGACGAATAGTTAGGGGAATGGAGAGATAGAGAAATAGAGGGATAACGGAGAGATAGGGGGATTTATTTATATATCGTGTCAGAAGCGAATTGAGGAGACAGTTGTGTTGTATTTAAAAAAAACCACAAATTTTGCAAGCTTGGTAGTGGATTAAATGTCCTTTGACCAGTCTCTGGCCCCTTGGAGTGCCTCTGGTGTTGCCGCAAGAAGGTCCTCCATGGTGCATCATGTGGCAGGGCTCAGGGTGCATTGTAGCAGGTGGTCAGTGGTTTGCTCTTCTCCACACTCGCATGTCGAGGATTCCACTTTGTGGCCCCATTTCTGAAGGTTGGCTCTGCATCTTGTGGTGTTCATCGCCTTCCAAGTGCCCAGGAGGAAGTCTCTCATTTGGATTCAGGTTCTAGGTTTTAGCCTGCCTCTTTTGGACTCTTGCTTGCTGAGGTGTTCTTGGGAGCATCTCTGTATATCTTAGGAAGCTGTTTCTTGATTTAAGGTGTTGGCATGCTGGCTGATATCCGAACCGAGAATGGGCCAGAGATGTCAATGCCTTGGTCCTTTCAATGCTGGCTGCAACTTCCCATTGGATGTTGCAGCCACCAATATGTCCCTAAACGCACTTTAATAATGATTTAAGATTGTCTGCACATTTTTTTCCCTCTCCAAAACTTCTATCCCAGTTACATGTCACCTTGTCATGCCCAGCATTATTTTTTTTAATTTAATTATTACATTTGGCCCAGCCATAGGTTTTTAAATGCGTTGTGTTATTGTTAATGTTTATTGCTTATTTTTGCTTATGAGTTTATTGTTTTGTATTATTGTTGTTATTGTTTATTGTTGTATTGTGGGCTCGGCCTCACATAAGCCGCACCGAGTCCCTTGGGGAGATGGTTGAGGGGTATAAATAAAGTATTATTATTATTTATTATTATTGAGGTTCTGGGTTTGAGCCTGCCACTTTTGGACTCTTGCTTGCTTAGGTGTTCTTGTGAGCATCTCTGTATATCTTAGGAAGCTGTTTCTTGATTTAAGGTGTTGGTGTGCTGGCTGATATCCGAACCGAGAATGGGCCAGAAATGTCAATGCCTTGGTCCTTTCAGTGCTGGCTGCTACTTCCCGTTGGATGTCAGGTGGTGCAATACCACCTAAACACTGTAATTTCTCCAGTGGTGTGGGGTGTAGGCATCCTGTGATAATGTGGCATGTCTCATTATTCCACACTGGGCATGTGTATTCAACAGCAGAGTAGCACAGCGCAAGGGCAGATGCCTTCACTGTGTCTGGTTGTGATCCCCAGGTTGTGCCAGTCAGCTTTCGTATGATATTGTTTCTAGCGCCCACTTTTTGCTTGATGTTCAGGCAGTGCTTCTTGTAGGTCAGAGCACGGTCCAGAGTGACTCCTCCCAGGTATGTGGGTGCGCTGCAATGCTCCCGTGGGATTCCTTCCCAGATCATCCTCAGAGCTTGTTCTTAAGGTGTAAAGCACATGTTTTCAACCATCTCAAAGCTCCCGGTGTAGGCAGTGGTGGCATGATCGTCAGCATAGATCATTTTCTCAAAGATCGAGATTCTTGCCTGTTCTTAAGGTGGAAAGCACATGTCTTTCAACCATCTCAAAACTCCCGGTGTAGGCAGTGATGGCATGATCATCAGCATAGATCGTTTTCTCAGAGATCGAGATGCTTGCCTGTTCTTAAGGTGGAAAGCACATTTCTGTGTTTTAGATGAATTAGGAATCAGCAGGTTTTCCCTAAAATATGCAGTAAGAGCACCTCAAGTTTTGGAGAGTTTCTATTCAACAATTTCAGAGCTCCCTGCTTGAGTGGTGATGGCATGATCATCAGCATAGATAAGAGTCTCTTTCCTGGAAGCTTCCCATCGCCATTTTGTCTGGATTGGTTTATTGTTTGCTTATTTCCTCTCTCTTTCTGTTTTGCGGGGAATAGGTCCTGGATCCGGAGAAGCAGGCGGACATGCTGGACTCCCTCCGCATTTACCTCCTGCAGTTCGCCACGCTCCTGGTGGAGCACGCCCCGCACCACATCCATGACAACAACAAGAACCGGAACAGCAAGCTGCGGCGGCTCATGACGTTTGCGTGGCCGTGCCTGCTTTCCAAGGCCTGCGTGGACCCGGCCTGCAAGTACAGCGGGCACCTGCTCCTGGCCCACATCATCGCCAAGTTCGCCATCCACAAGAAGATCGTCTTACAGGTGAGCGTGGAACTTCTCTTCTGATTTACTTCCTGCTTAAAATAATGTACAATGAGGACTTTGTATTGTCGAAGACTTTCATGGCCGGAATCACTTGGTTGTTGTAGGTTTTACGGGCTGTCTGCCCATGTTCTAGAAGCATTCTCTCCTGACATTTCGCCTGCATCTGTGACAAGCATCCTCAGAGGTTGTGAGGTCTGTTGGAACTAGGAAAGTTGGGTTTATATATCTGTGGAAGGTCCAGGGTGGGAGAAAGAACTCTTGTCTGTTGGAGCGAGGTGGGAATGTTTCAATTGACCACCTCGATTACCATTATTTTTAGGTGTACCCTGTTACTGCCTGGGGGGAATCCTTTGTTGACAGGTGGTTAGCTGTTCCTGATTGTTTCTTGTCTGGAGTTCCACTGTGTTTGAGTGTTATTCTTTATTTACTGTTATAATTTTAAAGTTTTTTAAATACCAGATTTTGTTCATTTCCATGGTTTCCACCTTTCTGTTGAAATTGTCCACGTGCTTCTTGTGGATTGCAGTGGCTTCTCTGCGAAGCTGTCAGGAGTCAATTTCTGACGGCATGAAGACATCACAAATTCCCTCCGTGACATCCTCACGGAATCATCCTGTCTGAATCAATTCTCTCTCTGTGATATTTCGAAGCCAGGAAAGTGCGCTGGAAACCTTGTATGGGAACTTGTGAAGCAAGAAGTTCTAATAAGGACACTGAGAAGAGGGGGAGATGGGCAGGAAAGGTGTATAAAAGGAAGTGGTGGTGGGAACAAGTCAGTCGTGTCTTTCTTGGCTGCAGAGATACAAGCAATATATCCATTTCCAAGCAGAACCGGCTTGTGAGTGGTTATTTAATATTGCTATCTAGACCCTACAGTCTGACAGTAGCCTGACATGGTGGTTGTGGGAGTGGTCCAGCACGTCTGTGTTCTACAATACTACTCTGAGTCCAGGTTGGTTCCTCAGGTGCTCTGCTATGACTGACTTCTCTGGTTGGATGAGTCTGCAGTGCCTTTCCTGTTCCTTGATTCATGCCTGGAGTTCCCCTGCGTTTGGTGGTCCCTATGTAGACTTCTTATCCACTCCTGCAGAGGCGAGAGGATTCCTCTTGTCTTAAAACTGTTGGGATTCAACCCCACTGCCCAAGTCTGAAGTCCTCAACGAGAAGCTAGTTAGCATTAGAATAGTCTGGGAGTATCTAATTTCTTCTCTCCTCTCTGGTTGTGTCGAATGGATACTTTTCTACGGTGAGCTTTTTGAATCTGACTTCTGTTTGTTTACATGGGAATATGTGCTGTGTGCTTTGAGGTCCCTCCCTGCTTGCGTTGTGCCTGGAGAGATGTAGTGCCTGGATGATTTTCCCTCTCTTGAAACGTTAGAAGAGATGGGTGTTAGGGTTGCATGGTTTCGAAGTTCTAGGTTGGCAGGAGCTGGGGCTCATGCCGCTCCCTGGATTCGAACCTGCGACCTTTCAGTCATCAAGTCCTGCAACTCAACACTTTAACCCACTGAAAGATCAATCTTGCCACCCCCCAAAAATGGGAGTGTGACTATTATGTGATGAAATACAGTTAACCTGTCCGTTAACTTGCTTTGTGACTGGCCATTAGTAATTGTGGGAGTTGAAGTCCAAAACACCTGTAGGAAGGGCCGAAGTCGGCCCAGGCCTGTTTTAGTTGATGCTAGATGTGGATGAGAGTGCGACTATTATGTGATGAAATAAGTTAACCTGTCTGTTAACTTGCTTTGTGACTGACCATTAGTAATTGTGGGAGTTGAAGTCCAAAACACCTGTAGGGAGGTCCAAAGTTGGCACAGGCCTGTTGTATGCTAGATGTGATGGGAGTTTAGCCTAATCACGTGAAAGAATATGCCAGGTGATTTAGTATGTTACCTTCGTGGTAGGTCTACACATGCATCAGATATTAATCCATGTGTCTGTAATAACATCTCCCATACTGTCAGTGTGGGTTGGCCCCACCAGGGTTGGCCAGTAATGTATGACCCCCCAAATTAGTGTCTCTTTTGATGCCGCTCTCACACGGAATGTTGTGAGGCATGCCATATTAACCAGTCTGATTCCAGTATGGCCCTTGCCAACAAGTTCCTGGACCTTATCTCACTCAGTTAATTCTGGAATGCTGTGTTTTCACTCAAGGAAAACATGACGTCTCTCTTCTTTCTTTCTATAATCTCAACATTGTCTTACCCATCATGCCTAGGGCGTGCAAACTTGTCACCCCGTCACATGGGCATGACGCATCTGCTCTCCTTTCCAGGTCTTCCACAGCCTCCTGAAGGCGCACGCCATGGAAGCACGGGCCATTGTGAGGCAAGCCATGGCCATCCTGACGCCCGCGGTCCCGGCCCGGATGGAGGACGGCCACCAGATGTTGACGCACTGGACGAGGAAAATCATCGTGGAAGAGGGCCACACCGTCCCACAGCTCGTCCACATTTTGCACTTAATTGTCCAGCACTTCAAGGTGATTTGCGTTCTGATCGTGTCGTAGGGTGGGAAATTCCCCCCACTACCATGCGCCTGTCTCTGGCTATTTGCTCTACATGGTTTTGCTGAGGTGGTAATAATGGATCAAATGTACTGCCTTTGAGGTTGCAGTTGAGTTTGTTTTCCTCACATAATAGTCTCATGCTTACTTCACTTGCCTGGGCTCAAATGGGGGCATTTGTGACTAATATGCAATAGAAACTATTACACTGTGGAAAAAGCCCAATTTGAGCCCAGGGGAGTTAACTAAGGATGCGACTATTATGCGAGGAAAGGTAAAAGTCCCATTTTTGTCTTCTCCAAAAGAGGAGTGTGACTATTATGAAAGGAAAGGCAAAAGTCCCATTTTGCCTTCTCCAAAAGAGGAGTGTGACTATTATGAAATGGCAACTATTACACAGCGGGGGGAAAAGTCCCATTTGAGGCCAGGCAAGTAGAGCAAGGGTGCGACTATTATATGAGGAAAGGCAAAAGTCCCATTTTGCCTTTACCAAAAGAAGAATGTGACTATAATGCAATGACAACTATTACACAGTGGGGAAAAAGTCCCATTTGAGCCTAGGCAAAGTAGAGCAAAGGTGCGACTATTATGTGAGGAAAGGCAAAAGTCCCATTTTGCCTTCTCCAAAAGAGGAGTGTGACTATTATGAAATGGCAACTATTACACAGCGGGGGGAAAAGTCCCATTTGAGGCCAGGCAAGTAGAGCAAGGGTGCGACTATTATGTGAGGAAAGGCAAAAGTCCCATTTTGCCTTTTCCAAAAGAGGAATGTGACTATAATGCAATGACAACTATTACACAGTGGGAAAAAAGTCCTATTTGAGCCTAGGCAAAGTAGAGCAAGGGTGCGACTATTATGTGAAGAAAGGCAAAAGTCCCATTTTGCCCCTCCCAAAGTAGGGGTGTGACTATTATGCGATGAAATTTGGTATGATGAGCTTATTCAGTGCTGTGTCTCCAGCTAAATTATTGAGTTCTAACTAAGCATATGTATTTTCTCTGTATTTTCTCATTTGGGAGTAGAAATAACACAGTCCTCGTGATGTTGTTGGACTACAACTCTCGCCATGCCTGGCATTGGCTGTGGTGCTCAGTTTGCTTTCCCAGCCAACAGCTTGCTTTCCTATCCTTGATTCTGTTGACTGTGTAATAGTTGCCATTGCATAATAGTCACACCACTATTTTGGAGAAGGTAAAATGGGACTTTTGCTTTTCCTCGCTTAATAGTCACATTCTTAGTTCACTCCCCTGGACTCAAGTGTGGCTTTTTTCACTGTGTAGTACTTGCCATTGCATAAGAGTTGCGCTCCCTTCCCCCTCCCCCCCAAAAAAGGAGGGGACAGGGGAAGTGAGACTATTATGCAATGAAATATAGTATTGAACTAATCACTTGTGTCAAGCTGAAAAATGTTTGACCTGTTTAAGCAATTTGGCAAAAGCACCGTATCTTCGAAGCAATTTCTTCCCCCAGGAGAGTGGTTTCCTCAACT